TCTTAAGAATTTAAATAAGATAGATTACTCTTTCTAAATCTTAATAAATTATATTTAATCTAAAAAGTAATATATTATATAGCTATTAAATCTCTAATATAATTATAAGCAGTTATAAGATACTAAAGATAATATAAAACTATAGCTTTAAATCTAATAAGAATATAGTATTAAGAGTATTAAAAAATTAGTTTAGTAATATTTTAAGAAGCTAAAGAATATAGTAAAAGATATTATAGAGAATATTAAAACCTCTTATAAAGATATTATAATTATAGATTAAGATATCTACTATTATTAATACTAACTTTATAAGACTATATATAGGTAATTTATATTAATCTAGGTATTTATTAATCTTATTAAAACTAATAAGTAGGTTTTCTATTTAAAAATATATTAAGATATATTAGATAAGCCTTTATAATTTATCTGGATTTATAAAGAAAGTATTAAAGACTAGAAGTATAATCTGGAGTTACTAATAATAGATTATATCTATAAAATTAATTACTTTAACTTACTACTTATATAAATTACTAAACTTATACCTCTTTATATAATATTTAGTACTATATTTATATTAATCTTAACTAAAGATAAAAAGATATTTTTATAGATTTTATTCTATCTTAAAGAAGTAGTAAAAATAGCTAATATTTTAAACCCTTATATAATTATTACAGACTATAATATAATACTAAAAAATATAGCTATAGCTATATATTCTAAAACTTAATAATAGCTATATATTTAATATATTAATAAAAATATTATACTTAATATTAAGTAGAAGTAATTAGGATTATTAGATAGATATAAGATTATAGGGGAAATTACTAAGGATTTATTATTTATTACTAATAATTTAATAGCTCTTAAGGGAAGCTAGGAAGATAATTCTAATAAGAGGTAGACTATAGAAGGAGAAAATAATAAAAATACTATAGCTATATTATTAGCAGCTGCTTTATAATCCTTAAAACCTAAGCTTTCTTTAATAGATAACTATAAATTCCCTACTATAGTAGATAGGGTCTTTATAGACTGGAAAGATCTTATATAAGCTAATATATATAATCTCTTTATTAAATAATAGTAGTACTTTAAGAAGAAGTTCTTAGACTAATCTGATATTATTATCTATCTTAAAGACTACTATATCCCTATAACTAAGTAATTTACTGAATTTACTATTAAGCTACTTTAAAATTATAGTCTAAGAGCTATCTTATAACTTAAGGGTTTATATTATAAGTTAAAGTTAGTTCTTAGTAACTGCTTTACTAATCTCTTTATATTAGAAATACTTATCTTTAAGATAATCTAGTTATAAAGAACTATTTATTATCAGAAGCTTTATCTTTAATAAAGAAAGTATCAGACTGAATAGAATAAATACCCTATAATATAGCCTCTTATAGATAAACTCAGCCGGACTATATTAGATAAGATCTTTAAATAGCTAAAGTTAGCTCTCTAGGAACTTTATAGGAAGATTAGAGCTATATCTTATATAAATAGATTATTTAACTAATAGAGCCTTTCTTACTATTACTGAATTTATTAACTTCTTCTTCTTAATAAGCTGTTCGGACTAGAAGATATTAATAGTTATTAGTAGATAAAAGCTTTTATAGTAAATAGTTAATCTAATTCTTAACTTCTGATCTTATAACTAACTTTCCTACTAGGAAGAGTAATAGTAGGTTCTTAACTATATATAAGAGCCTTATCCTAATATAATTTAAATATACTATAGAGCTAAAAATACTCCCCTATCTCTCTCTGAGTTTAAGGCCCTAAGTAGTTAGATTTTAAGTAATTAGAAGGCCTATAAAGCTTCTCTCTAGCAGTTATAATAACTACTGAATTTAATAGTAAGAGGAGCCTGGAGTTAGAGTTATAGCTAGTAGTAGTAAGAGTAGAGCTTAAGATTATAAGATTAGGGCTTATAATTATAAACTTATATATAAAGACTCTTACTAATACTATTATAAATATTATTATAATAATAAACTAATCCTATAATAATCTTACTTTATAGTTAGATTTAAACTCTTATAGTAATAATATAATACTAACTTAAGAGCTAAAGTTAGCTATATCTTCTTATAAGAGTATTAGTAGTAAATTATCTAATTCCAGGGTTTCTAGTACTCTTATAGTTATCTCTATTATAGCTAAATTTAATAAGTTATTCCTTAAGTTATCTCTTAATACTATAAAATATTATACCTATACTGTATAGATTATTATAAGTACCTTTAATTAGGTAGTTCTAATCTAGTTATCCAAGTAGTAGCTAAGTAGTATTACTAGTAATACCCTTATATAATTTAGCTATAGTAGTTCTATTACCTTCTTATAAGCCCGAGAGATACTTTACCTTTATAAACAGCTTCCCTAGCTAGCTTATAATATACTTAATTTATATAAATATATAATAAAAATTATAATATATAATTTATATATATATATCGCGATATACTGAACAAGGGGTAATTATATTATCTATTTTATATAGCGAGATTACTGATATAAAAGGGATAGCATCATCGATTTACGAGACAGGGGCGTCGATTTTTGGGTTCTCAAGTTGCAGCGTCAGCATGGGCGCAATACGCACCTTTTTGCGACCTGCATTTCTAAGCCGCGGGCCATGTCTCCTCCCGGTTCGGATCCCCTAACCTGGGCTCCCTGGACCATGACGGGACAAGATTGACAGGAAGAAAGGAAGAGCAGGGATGCTGGGAACTTTCTAAACCTGAGGGGCAGCCAACCAGCAGCACATGGCGGGCGATAATGAAGCATTATTAATATTCGCCCTCGGCCCTCACTCGCCGCCATGCACCCCTGACTGGGCATGCTCGCACCGATGCCACGGATTGATGGAAGCATTTGAGAATTGGGCTGACGTGGCCGGTAGAGCGAACCTCTCATGCAGGCCGTCTCATGGCCATCCCTCCGTCCCTGGATATTAGGCTGTTGCTCTCCCCGGTTGCTATTTGGAATTCGAAAAGGCTTCGGCTTATGTAACTCGCGTCAGCAAATAACCTTATCTGATTGACAAAAAAATCCGACACGGTAAAGAAGGCGGCCCATGTGATATCAAGGTTGTGCATGTGTCATATTGGCTTGTCCGCAACTGTCGGTCAGCATGAAGTGTCATGCATGTGTCAACACCGCAGAAAACTCATGTTTCTGGTAATTTCTACATTAGTTCAAGTTTGGCAATTACATAGAGAGCTGTTGGGTGGCCAATCAAGCGACAGCGTATCTCCGTCAACCTCCGTGCAACGGTTACCGAACAGCCTGAAACCATCACAGACCGTATTGGCCATTTCTCCGTCTATGAATCAATATTCCGTATTAGTGCACGTGAAAGGCTTGGTTCAAATTCTGACTTCCCTCCATTCTACTAACCCAATGCCTCTTTCATTATACCTGCAGGGGAAGAATCGGGGCAAACACATCAAGACATTCATTCACCTTATAAGCCACAAAAGGAGCAGAACCTGAATTTTGAATACTGCTCAGTCTGTAGAAATCACACCAGGAATAATCTACCAGTTTTCAATGCATTATCTCTACGACAGACGAATATCAACGTAAACTTCCCAACTTACAGGCCGAAATAGCGTCAGGAATGAAACAAATTTGGTAAGATGACGAGATTGACTGCGCTCGGTTGTGCTTGCATTCTCTTTACAATGGCCCATGCATGTCCTACATTCGTCTCCGTTGCTATCATGCATCCAGATCGAAATTTGGTGACGATCTTCCCAAATAAATTAGCATAATGGATCCTGCCATGCATAGCGGAGCCTGATCTGATGATAGGAATTAGGCTCAGCTACATGTCTGGTTCAAGAGCTTGGGCAATCCTCAAAGTACACCGTGCCCTGCTATCTCAATCGTTTCCTGTCTTCTTCTCCAAATTAGGCTACAGGTGCTGGATAATGGAGATGCCACCATGGCATCTAGACCTACATTCAATCGCTTGGCTCGACCCAAGTGACGCCAGCGGAAGCAACCTAAAGAGCATCGCCATTCGCGCCCAACGGACTATTGGTGCCCCCAGAGATAAGACTCCATTCTGTCGTACATGTCGGCACGACTGCATGCTTCCTTCACATGCCCGATCCGGAATGCCGCGTCGAATCCTCACATCTAGATCAGGATATGAGAGGGGGGTGTGCCGGCCCGAATGCTTGGCGTTCGATATCCTTCTCTTTAAACGAAATCAAAGCAGTCTTCCATATTAGACCCCAATGTATCTCCGGGATGTCACTATCCATTGAGCTGCTGTGAGAAACAAAGGCCTATAAGCCCTAGCGAGTTTTCTCACCTTGTGTACTATATATCAAAAGTCCATTTGTTGGTCAGACCAAACACTTATCTTCGCGCTGATCAACGATAAATGGACACTTCAAAACGAAGACAATGCCTGAGGTTGTGTTTCTAGTTGATTAGAATGACTGAAGAGGTAGATGAATTGCCTGTAGAGTTAGTCAGCCCCGAGTTGCAAGAGACCGTCAAATAGGACAATAGGTCAGGTTCCAAGCTTCGCTGCCACTTACACTCGCGAGCTATTTCAACGTCTCCCGCGAATAGTTCTCCGAGTCTATTAAAAGGCTTCAGGTTCAAAGGCTTAGATATCCTTGGAGCTATGAGCTGCTTAATTTGGTTAGGAAAATTATGGTCTCACGATTCATATGGTGTCAGGTCACGATGGAAGCAGACAAAAATTATTTGATGCAAATCAGTAAATTGAACATCCGATACTACCCAAGTATCCAAAAAGCTACCTACTAACGAAGTCGTTTAAAAGAAGAGAAAAAAATTGGCTTCCCTATATTATCGTCATCCCGCATCTCAATTTCTCCATTCCCCTTATCCTCTGAAGATTAGGCTGGGCTTGCCAAGATGTGATTGAACAGTAACCAAAGGCGAAGTACATTGTCGCTATCCTGAGCGATTTCCGTCAAAGCCGTCCCTTACAGGAAGAAAGCCAGACCGGCGATGGCGCCGAGACCCAGAGCAGGGAGAACCTTCTCGGAGCCGGCGATGATGGGGGTCTTGACAGGAGGGGTGGGGCAGTAAGGGCCCTCGCAAGGAGGATTAGGAGTTGGCTTGCCATGGTGAGGGGTGGTCTTGTGAGGAGGAGGGCAGTGAGGACCCTCGCAGGGAGGAGGGCACTTGTCGCCGTGGCAAGGGTACTTCTCGTGGTGAGGAGGAGGGCACTTGTCGCCGTGGCAAGGGTTCTTCTCGTGGTGAGGAGGAGGGCACTTGTCGCCGTGGCAAGGGTACTTCTCGTGGTGAGGAGGAGGGCACTTGTCGTCGTGGCAAGGGTTCTTCTCGTGGTGAGGAGGAGGGCACTTGTCGTCGTGGCAAGGGTACTTCTCGTGGTGAGGAGGAGGGAGAAGGCACTTGTCGCCGTGGCAAGGAGGAGGGGGGCACTTGTCACCGTGGCAAGGAGGGTGAGGAGGAGGGCAGTGAGGACCGTTGCAAGGAGGAGGTCTGGGCTTGCACTCGCCCTTGCAGGGAGGAGGGAAGACGGGAGGCTTGGGGACAGGGCAGTCCTCCTTGCAGTGGGGGACGGGCTTGCACTTCTCGCCGTGGCACTCCTCCTTGCGGTAGCACTCCTCACCCTTGCAAGGCTTGTGGTGGCACTCCTCGCCGTGGCAGACAACCTTCTTCTCGCACTCGTCACCGAAGCACTTCTCCTTGATGCACTTTCCGTCGTAGCAGATAACCTTCTTCTTGCACTCCTCGCCCTTGCACTCGGGGTAGTGGCACTTGTCGCCCTTGCACTCAACGAGTCTGTTCCACTTGTCGTCCTTGCAGGTCTCGGGGAAGCAGTGCTCGTCCTTGCAGACAATACGCTCGCGCTCGCAGTGACCGCTCTTGCAGGGTCCCTGGGGAAGGCAGTAGTCACCGTAGCAGATGATGACTCTGCCAGGGTAGGGCTCGTAGGTTGGGTGAGGATGGTAAGGAGTGACGGTTGTGGCGATGGTGGTCGAGACAGTGGTGGTGACGGTGTCAGTGATAGTCGTGGGAACACCGCTGATGGTGGTTGTGGCAGTGGTGGTGGTGGTGGTAGTGTACCAGCCACCCTCCATGCCCTCGACACGGATGTAGATCGTCAGGTAGACCAGGTTAGGGACAAACTGGCGACGCTGGAGACCAACGAGGCTACCACAGAATTGCTGTTGGTTGCCGGGGCAGGGGATGGAGCAGACGTTGTTGGGAACGCGGGCAGTGCCAACGCTGTCAATGTCCTTGCCGCACCAGCAGTCACTGAATAGAGAGAGTAAGCAACTGAAGAAGATCACCAATGGATAGCAGGAGTAACTTACGTGCCAGCAACACCGAAGAAGCGGGATCCGCAGCTTGCCGCGCAGAGCTCAAGGTCCATCTGCGGGTTGGTGCCAATCTTCTCGAAGCTAGGGAAGTTATTGGAAGATCCCACGCATCCGTAGAACTGGTAGTCGCCAACGCGAGCAGGGAACCCAGAGCTGGGGTTAAGGGTTGTCGGAGGGGGAGTCACCACAGGGGGGGCAACGCCGGGGATAGCCGTGTTGTTCTGGGCGAGAGCAACACTGCTCAGGCCCAGAGCCAGAAGGGGAGCGAAAAACATGATAGAATCCGTTCTTAAAAGAGTGAAAGAAGTAGAAAAGACCGACCTAACTAAGAAAACTCGGAAAGCTCAAGCGAAAGAAGCCGAGAGTGCTGATTGTTGCTGATGAGAAAAAGGAACTGATGACCACGGGATGGAAGTGTTGATTTATACTTCTCGAAACCCAAGCAACGGCACGCGCTTTGGTTCATCCTGATCATATTTTCAGTCCCTTGCCCGAAATGAATTGGCGACGAATGCACATCAGAGCACGAAAACGCTTGTATGGAGTTTGGCATCTGAGATAATGAGACAGTGGCGCCCTCCGTTGTGTGTGAAGAATGCTGTCCAGGGGGAAAGGCAAATAGCCTCCATTCTCCCAGTAAGGTGTCTCACACATCGCCCTCGGTAGCCAGTCATGTTAGTCAAGGGCCACTCTCTGAGGAAAAGGACCAGCAAGCACGCAGGAAGCCATGAGTGTCTTCTCCTTCTCGATCTGCCACGACCCAAAATTTCCCAAAATTCCAGGCATAGGCGGTTGCAAGACAACCATGGTTTGTTTACCCCCGAGGCACAGCTGAACACAGAAATGCAGATTAAGATATCTCAGGCCAAAGAAATTTTTCAGCTCGGTGAGGGATGAGTTTACTGAATGAAGGGAAAACGGTCCCGCGAGATAGCAATATGTTTTGTCAGAGCTTTGACCAGTGCCGGCAGACTCTGGTATGATGATTTTCTCTTGGTGGCCTGACTAGATTTTTTGTTAGACTTGCTTTTGCATTTCAAGTATATACGCTCTCACATCTCTTTTTTTATCTGAATTCTGCTCTAGCTTGATTGCCAGCGACGGGTAACTGCCGGACTGTGCGTGGCTCGCTGAAATCCTAGATCTTACGTCGACTGTGTGCCCTCAAGCTCAGTACTGAGTTCCTTCACGCACGGGCCAATCATCTCGTCTCAATTGTTGGTCCGTCCTGTGAGACATACTAACTCAAGGGGGTTGAAGGCTGGGGAGAGAGGCTCGGTTGTCGGTGGCATGTGGAGAACGTAGACACAATCCTCCCAAGGCGTTATACCACTGGAAAAGAAATATTCAGCTATTAGCTGTAACGCATCGAAGACCCTGTAATCAAATATCCCATGCTCGCGAGGTCGTGCCGCAGTGCGATATGAGGGTCGCAAATCCGGGGCGAGTGAGTGGTTGAGACAAAAGGATGAATGGATACTAGAGGGAGAAATAGCGTATTGAGGAGTTAGATATTGCTGTGGAAGTGGATATGGACGAGAATTATGGATTCACTGAATCTCTACGCATTCGAACTGATCACAACATCAGAAGAGAAGATAACTAATAGTGAATACCATCTTACAATACGATATACCTTGATCATGATTGGAAATTAGAGGATTCACTCATGGAGTAGCATTTCCCTTCCCGAGAGAAAGTCCCTTGGTTTTACGCGTAGGAGAAGTAGTTAACCATGATTTTCGCTTATACAATAGCCAACGGAAGCTGGTGCCGAACGGGAGAAATGAATACTAGGATTCGATCCGGCCTTGAAATGTGCAATTCCAATGGCCCATTGAAAAGCGATAACGGGAGTTGAGTCACTCTTACCACCCATTATTAACTAACTACGCTTTCTATGAGTGTAACCAACACACCGAGAATTCTCCTTCCCTTGTGACTTGATCCTGGCTCCACGTCTCTCAATATGCGTTGAGTGGTCAATTTCTGTCACAAGTGGGGAGCTTCCACGTGCCGCGAAGACGGTGAAGAGTGCTAACGAGCGGCAGAAAAATGCCAAATTTCCCCTCCTCGAGCTTCTAATTAGAAAGGGCGATCGGGATGGTTCAGAGGGATCGTCGGAGCCAAGGAATTTTGCGTGTGTGTGGGCTCTGTTTACGCGGGCAGGGTGGAATGAGGATAGGGCGACCATATGAGACAGGAGGGCAGACTTCGCCCTCTCAACCAGCCAGCCCTGATTAGATAATTTGAAATTCTTTCTTCACTAGATTTGGACTCTTCATTCTTTCAGTGCCCCATGGAGGTAGCAAAGGAGATGGCATCCGAATACTTGACTAATGGGTTCAAGGACCAGGATCATGCCTCACTTCAATTCCTTGGATGACCGACGCATGATGCTACCGACAATCCCGGCCGACTGAGTGGAATCGTGTGACCCGTGACCCCGGGATGTTTGCCGGCAAGTCGGATCGCTGCATGGATTCTGGCGTAGCATCAAGAGAAGAATGGTGAAGCTTGGGCAGCTCCCAAGGTGCCGTCAGCCTTGTGTACGAGAGCAGAAGTGATGAGAACTGCACTGTTCCCGCCTGATGTCCCCTTCTAGGGACTCGGGAACCCAATTAGAAGTATAAGATAGTCTACTAGGAAATAATTTATTTTATATTAAGAAATCCATCGTTCATTTTCTCGATCTTCACCGAGACTTACACGGACGGGATCCATGGATCGACGTCACCGCCAGAAGCTGCAGCTGGCCCCAGCTTGTCACCGGCAGCCTTCTATACGCCAGAATGCCTGTCAAACCGGCCAAAGAGAAGACGTCGGCATTTCTCGGGCTTTGTTTAGGGTTGCTGCTACACACCATCAAGCCAGCCCAGCATCTTAAAATTGCGGGGGATGTGACGTCCGGGCTTTCCGGCATCAACAACGCTGGGCGTGTGGCCTTATGATAGCTTCATTCTCAGAGCTCCAACATCCTCGCTATGTCGATCCACAACGGTCGACGTGGCGTGACAATGGAGCCCAAGCCCGGCTTCCGGGTCGCATCGCATCACAAGACAAAACTTCCGAAGCTTCCTGGGTAGCATCTACCCTGGACGATGACCACATCAACCCGTTACTGGAGCTCCAATCGAGATATCTTGGCATGTAATGGAAAACTATATAGTCTCGACGGGATGCGGATGGGAGATGGGATGGCTGTCTTCATAGTCACAGGCAGACAAGCAAACCTGAGCTCGATTGGGCAGTTCTACATCTACAATTCATCCCGATACACTCTTATATATATTCACATCATGGGGAACAAAGCACTCGACGTGAACAGTGTGTTCGAACAGGCTGACCTCGGCATCACTGTACGAGGCTCAGACTGGATCTTCACCGTCTGTTCCATAATGGGTGCGTGCTGTCTGGCAGTCATTGGCCACTCTTTTACACGCCCGGCACACCAAAGGCTGTTCCATCAGCTCATCATGGTTGCGCTCTTCGTTGGCTGTGTCTCCAACTTCGCCGTGGGCTCGAACTTGGGACAAGTCCCCATCCAGGTCGAGTTCGCCCGAGGTGGCAAGGTGGTGGCTGCTGGTACCCGAGAGATCTTCTATGCTCGCTACATCGACTGGTTCATCACCACACCTCTCCTCCTCTCGGCACTCCTCCTGACGGCAAGCGTCTCTTGGTCTACCTTGCTGGCTGTCATCTTGGTTGACGAGATTATGGTCGTCTGCTACTTGCTTGGTGCACTTACTCAGACTACCTACAAATGGGGGTTCTGGACCTTTGGCGTTGCTGCGTTCCTATATGTCGCCTACTCTGTGCTCATTGTTGGACGCCGTGGTGCGAACAGCATCGGGGGAGCCGTCAGGACCATCTACAACGTCTCTGGCATTGTCCTCATCACCACCCTTCTTCTGTACCCCATCGCTTTCGGTTGCTCCGAAGGCGGCAATGTCATCCACCCAGACTCAGAGGCCATCTTCTACGGTATTCTGGACCTCCTCGCCAAGGTTGTCTTCCCATTCCTCCTTCTCTGGGGCCATCGCAACATCAGCTTCGAGAGCCTGGGGCTGAACACCACGGAAGCCGGCCGCCCTGTTGTCCGCGAGAAGGGGGACTACCACGCCAGCGGCATAGACGGAGTGGGAAATGGTGTCGACACCCAGCCCACAACCGCCAATGGGGCCAACGGAACAACCACTGCAGTTTAGTACGGCACCGTTTGAGTTGTGCACATCCTCCAGCCACCTCTCGGATCTAATGTTTCAGCGCTGCTGGAGTTTCGAAGGAGGACTAATGAGGAGGGTGTACACATGAGCTTATGAGTAGGAAATACCCTGGACATGACTTCCTTCCTGGGGCAGGAGGACGAAGGCAGGAATAAGGCTGGTATTGATCAGCTTTGAGAATGATATGGTGATGAGTTGATGTAGTAATGTTGTTTTCAGAGTTAACTTAATAAGAACCCGATTTTAAAACACTGTTCCTGTTATTGACTATCAAAAGCCGTCATTCGCGATGAATCATACAAAAAATCGAGCATACATTGATTTGAAGTTGCCATGTAGGCTAGAGACCCACGACACGGGGAATTCAAATGCCCATGTGAAGGCGGGTCAAGAATCATTCAGTACCTAAGTGATGATGTTCTTGTCTAAGCCGTTTGAAAAGAAAACCGAAGAGACGTCTTTACATTAGTGGGTATATATCCAATTTCCTTTGGGCAGATGTAAACCGCAGCGGAAGACCTCCTACAGATCAATTGCCCGATCCGGGCAGCCAGACGGTCTGTCGGGACCGAAGCCATCGCCAAAGGCTCCACCAGCCCGATTGGAACTCCGGCAGTGGAGTAATGGCCGATTCCAACTGCTGGGAGATATCGCCCGGACGTCACTACTTCCCGGATGGAATACAAATCAACTTATTTGTTGGCATCGCAAAACCAAACGTTGGTAGTTTCGAATTATAAAAGCATCTGCATGCCATCACATTCAATCGATGGAAAATGAGTTAACAAGCAATCAATCAATCGACCGATAGAACCAACTGCTTACGCGACCAGGAACAAGCGTGACCTCACCCAGCCACATATAATTCTTCAATTCTTGCACCCCAAGCATGGCACAGTCTCATGATTATCCAGTCATTGTGATAGGCGGCAGCCTTGTCGGCCTGTCTGCCGCGCTCTTTCTCTCACACTGGAATGTCCCCGTGGTTCTCCTCGAGCGACACCCTTCCAGCGCCCTTCATCCTCGGGCGGTCGGTTATACGGCCCGCACCATCGAGATGCTGAAGACTGTCGGCGCATCTGAGGATCTCAAGGGCATCATGTGGAAGGGCGGTCCACCAAAGCGAGTCGTTGTCGAAAGTCTCTCTGGAAAGTGGGAGAACGAGGTCGCCTGGACCGAAAAGAAAACTGCATCTGCACCTCCCACTAGCGAGAAAGGAGACAAAGAAGCTCTCAAAGGCCCTCCCCCAGGTCCAGTCTACTCTCACGTCCAGGGCGTTGCCGTTGCTCAAGATATCATCGAGCCCGTTCTCCGGACTCATGCTATCAGGCTTGGTGCCGAGCTCAGGCTGGGCCACAAGGTGCTGGACTGGACCCAGGATGACCAAGGCGTCACAGTGACGGCGACGAATCCCGATGGAACTGAGTACTCGCTGCGGGGCCAGTATCTCGTGGCGTGCGATGGGGCACGCAGCCCGGTTCGAGAAAAACTCGGCATCAAACGCCAGGGAGTTGGTATCCTAAGGGCTCTGCGGAGCATCCTATTCAAATGCCCCCGTATCAACCATTATCTTGACCACGGCTACTCCCAGTTCCAAATCCAGAATGGGGAATTCGAAGCCTTCATGACCACCTACGGCGAGGGTCGCTGGATGCTGGCGTGGAATGACGGGACTGAAGACATCAATAGACCTGAGACGAAATTGGACCTCATTCGAAAGGCCACTGGGCTTCCTGACCTTACAGTCGATGATGTCGAGTTCATCACGACTGGTCAGTGGGACATTGGTGGTTTGGTTGCCGACGAGTACTCTTCCGGGAGAGTTTTCCTCGCTGGCGATGCAGTCCACGCATTGCCCCCAAACCGCGCTGGCTTCGGTGCCAACACTGGCATCGCCGATGTCCACAATCTGGCGTGGAAGTTAGCCTCTGTCCTGCAGGGGAAGTCTCGAACAGAGATCCTCGAGACATATACCCAAGAGCGTCAGCCTGTTGCCGTTGTCCGGCATGATCAGATCTTTGCTCGACAGGACTACCGGCGGTATGCGAAGGGCCTGGAGTGGCCTGGCAAGGACGCAGAAATCCTGGACGATAACGCTCTGGAATTTGGCCAGATCTATCGCTCAAATGGTATTCTCGGATCGGGAGAAAACCTCCCTCTTGCCAAGGTCCCCACTGAATGGAAGGCCCAGCCCGGCACAAGGGCAGCACATGTCTTTCTGCGAAAAGATGGTGAGACAATCTCAACTCTTGATCTTTTCGGCACCGAATGGGTTGTGATTTCGAGTGATGAGGGGTGGAAGCAACCAGTTAAGTCAGCAGCGAAGAGTCTTGGAATAACCGTCGAATTTGCTTTTGTTGGGAAGGATATTGTGGAAGAGGTTGAGGGGAGCTTCAACGACGTCTACGGGTTGAGCGAAAATGGAGCGGCATTGGTTCGCCCTGATGGAGTTATTGCATGGAAAGTGATAGAAAAGCTAGACGAGCCGGTGAAAGCATTGACCGAGGCTCTGTCGAAAGCCTCTTATGCAACCAAGAGCAACTAAAAGGTCCACGGCATATTAGATAGGTAATTCGATAATATAATTGAACAGTTTCCACGCAATCATAAGCCCTCTGGATTTATTATTCACCCAGAGCTGAAGCAGTTCTTCGTCCTTTAGGGTAGGATGAAGTGCGAATGTCCCATTTCCATGACTGAGGAGGAGTTCTTGGCTGGCTTCGAGGGAAAAAATGGCCCAACTCTGAGTCAAAAGCTCCTTCCCTGCCACTTTGGACACCAAGATGCTGGTCAGCCCAACTGGGGCACGGCCGGGCCACCGCAACTGTTCTTTATGCAGAGCCTGCTGCAGAATCACAGGCATGAGCTCGAAAGGACACTTGTTATGTACTCGCTTAACACTGGTTGAGTTCTCGTACACCACAGCTAGGAGACACGTTTACCAGTTAGTGAGTGATTTCGGTGTTGCGATTAGGCACCCAGCACCGGGACGATGCACCTATCCGTGAAAGCGGGCAGCAGGTAGGCGCGTGTCATTGGGGCAACGAAGAGCGTTAGGCACCTGCTGAAGCTACGTCTGCGCGGAGGTGGTTTGGGTGCTGATCTCATACCTGGCCTCATTAAGAGGGAACCTTAAAAAGTCGAGACGGGCGAGCTTGATGGCCACTCATCGCCGGTTCTCTCTCCCATGACGAGCCTCACGAGCCTCATTTGCCTGCTCTTCCTCATTACTGCCCGTCACCGTGTAGGTCCAATAAGACCCGCTCCTAGCCGCGCATTCCATCATCGCCAGCACTCGTGAGTTGCCCCTCAATGTCACGCGCGCCCGACAGCGCGGGTGATAACCAGCCCCGCCACCGATAAAGCACCTCGTACCCAAAACGCGCTGCTCACAATGCACAACAGCCCTGCGGCACCGATTTGCTCAGCCTATTAGCACCCATTCCAGCGTTCCACTCACCACCCGCCCGCTGCGGGGACCCGAAAATCACGTCCCACCGTCACCAGGCCTTGCTGTTGGGCTTAGCTGAACGCTAATCTGTTTGCGAGGGTGGTAGTTTGTTCCTGACATCCGCCTCCTACTTATCTCTCTGCGTCTTCAATGCCTTCTTATTCTTCTTTGATGTGAAATCCCGCCCTTGGATTTCCTCATCTCTAGCTTAGCATCGCTCACATCCATTCACCGAGTTGGCGTCGAGGCTTGTGCCTCCTCAGATTCCGCAGCCATGTTCGACCTCTTGCCCATGCTCTTATCGTAAGTCCGCCCACACGACCCTCCAAGATGCCCCGCCATGGCGGCGTGCGCCCACCACACCAACGTCACTGTCACCACCCAGCCGTCTGCGAGCGCATACTGACATTATCGCGCCTGCTTGCGCGAACGCACAACTTAGATCTGTCGCGTCCTTTCTGTTCCCCATATTCGCATCCTACAAAGCTCTCAAGACCTCCGATCCCGCCCAGTTGACACCATGGCTCATGTACTGGGTCGTCTTCAGCTGCTGCTTGCTCGCTGAATCTTGGGTGTCATTCATCCTCGTATGGTACGTTTGACAAATCCAACTCGATCTTGACTTGTCTTCCAGACTTGTCTTTTGCTTTCATCTGGGTCGCACAGCTTGCCTCATCCCACCCCGCTAACTAAACCCCAATCAATAGGATCCCCTTCTACGGATACATCCGCCTTCTCTTCCTCCTCTACCTGATCCTTCCACAAACCCAAGGCGCGCGCGAGCTCTACGAAAGATATGTCCACCCTTTCCTTGAGGACAACGAGGGCCATATCGACGAGTTCATTGCCAGTGCGCACGAGCGCCTCAAGACCGCAGGCATAGCCTACCTCAAAAATGCCATCGAGTACATCAAGACCAAAGTCCTGGGTCTTCCACCCACCGAGCCAACCCCGCCAACCCCAGAACCGACCGGCCCACAGAGTTACACCCAGTCTCTCCTTGCTCGGTTTAGTGTTCCCACAGCTAGATGGACGGGCTCCGCCACAGCAGGGACCGACATCTACAGTATACTCGCCGGAGCCGTCGCGGCTGCTTCAGGCGTCGCTGCCGGAAACGCCAGCGGGGGTTCCATTCCCAGAGATAGACTCATCCCATCAGACCTGAAGTCGTCGGGCGAGAAGATGAGCTTTATCGAGATCCAGCGCGAGCGCCTGAATACCCTTCTCTCCGCGCTCGATCAGGAGGCGCTAGCTCTGCAAAACCAGGCCGCTGAGCGCCCCTCCTCAATGAGCATGGACGGTGGTGACGGCGAGCCCACCCAACGAGTTGGAGGCGGGATCTGGGGCGGTCTTAACAAGAGCCGCAGCGAGGCCGACTTCGAGAAGATCGAGGCAGAGAGTGGCGCAGAAGATGAGAGCTCCATCCGGAAGCGAAACACGCCCGGCAGCAAAGCAGGCTCTTGGGTGCCCTGGGGCTGGGGCGCCGGCTCTGAACCAGGAACCAGTTCTGGCGTAGACAAGTAGAAAGGAACCCCCCCTTGTGAGAAGCGAATTGTCGGGGAGTAGGTCTTGTTTGTCGTGCTCGTTTTGGTAGGGTAGACGGATCCTCACAGGCTTTACACGGCGTCATTGGGCATCATCATTCCTTGTAGCAGGACAAAGTGGCCTAGGCGGTATCGTTGGTTGTTCTGATTCAGGCGCAGCAAGTCCAGTCCAACGGGATTATATACAGAAACTCGCTTATTCTTGATAGCTAGTCCGGTATCTCTTGTACAGTGGCGGTCTTTCCCATCTATTAATATCGTACAATAGACCTACCAATCGCCCCTCTATTTTTACAGTTATTCGTCCCGCTGTGCCGTACTTTTTTCCAACTCAAGTCTAGATTCATCTACTGGGCGGTGACTGGCCCCCTCAAGTTCGCTTGAAAGGATACGCCACTTCGACTTGGCCCTTCTTGAACCACAGCACCCGCTTCTTCTTGGTGACCTGGTGTTCGACCCAGACCTCCTCCATCTTTTCCTTCTTGAAAGATCGGATGAATCGAGGGTCCCAAAGATCGGACGCGATGCCCAGATCCTTGCAGCATCGCATCAGGGCATTCGACTTGCAGCCCTCGACCGCTGAAGGTATACCTTCCTCGTTGTAGAAGTGATTTTCGCCCTGCGCTTGAGAGACGAATCTGCAATGTTTCAAAGTCAGCACTCCGTCTTCTACGAGAAGTTTCCCATCTCCGCCAAAAAAGGGTGTGCTTACCGGCCATCGACAATAAGAGCGTACTCCCGGGTCACCATGGGCCCGTTGATTATGGGATCGCTCTTGGGGATCATGCCCCAGCCCATTGGGCCAAAGGCCTCGTTCAGCCGCCGCCTGTACTTGATCTCGGGGAGGTAGATGATGCCGTCGGGCTTGACCTCGATGTCCTCCTCGTCGATGGGCCGCATCAGGACCTTGAACTGCCCCGCGGTCACGGGCCGGGTGGAGATGCCGTGGAAGCTGGCGTCCCAGGGCACGTCGATGTCGTTCGCCGTCGCATGCTCCTTGGGGTGGGAGACGGTGACGGTCTTGGCCTCGTAGGTGTTCTTCATGGGACTCGTGGGGGCCCGGACCTCCTGCAGCAGATCTTTCGAGGGGAATGGTCTGCCTGAAGTGCCGGGCACGAGCCGGGAAGCCTGGGCTTCATTGCGTTCCGCCTTGTCGAGAGCTGTGGGCTCCGGACGCCGTGGCGCTGGGGACTGGGGACTGGGTGCGGCCGGTTTTCTTGCTGGAAGTGGCTTCTTCAAAGGCACTGATCTCCTTACTGGCACTGGTCTCTTCGCTGATGCAGCTGTTGCTGCTGGCTGTGCGCTTGGTCCATTTGCGGCCTCTGCCGCTGGCGTCTGCACAGGCTTGGCGTCTGCCGGTGCGGTCTCTGGGGTCGAAGCTGGTGTTGAGCTGCCTGTCGCGGGAGTCGAGTCTGGTGTCGAATTACCTGTCGCGGAATTCGAAGCTGGTTGTGCCGGTGAAGAGGAATCACTGGAGGAGAAGCCGCTTATTGGGCGGGTGGCTGGCCGGGCGATGAAGGCACGCCCAGCTGCCTGCCTCGGGAGGGCGTGCAGCGTTCTGCGGAGGGAAAACATTACCGCCTGCACTGAGGTTGCAATGGGGCGAATTGAGGGAAGATGGTGCAAATGAAAGATGTAAGTCGGGATTCTGAGGTTGGATGTTTGTGCAACCTCAATATTTTTTCTTGCACTGGATCGAGCTGCCGTCATAAGTGGGGACCGTCCCTTGATTGGTTCGAGGGGACCTAGAAGGTAGTGCAAGCCGCCAATTGCCTTTGAGGACATGCAACTTTAGCGGTAGATAATTGTATCTTGACAATTTGAAAGAAGTGGCTAGAATTGGTACAAGGTTAAACAATCGGTTACAATAGTATACAATAATAGGAAAGAGTGGGATCTGTCTCTCTATCCGTAATGTGTGAGGCTTGCACAAGCCTATCTCTAGGTCTAGGCATCTCTAGTGCCTGTTCGTTCATTGTTGCCATGGCTCTTCCAACACTCTCTGAATTGGACCATCTACCCATTGAAGTGAGCATGTGGCAAGAGACGCGGTATGAATTGAGTAAGTAAGACTGACCTCTTCGGTACATGCTCTCCAATCTTTTTTCTCGAAGTAGCAGTCCGTCATCTTGGCGTTTTCATCTATATGACATTCGTTGTTAGCTGATGCTGTACACCGCCAGCGAATGGATACAGGGCCAACAAGGCCAAAGAGAGAGAAGACACCTGCACGCAGCAGCAGTGCAAGTAATTCGAGAGGCGTAGATATAGGCACACAATAGGAAAAGCAAACTCACCTGCACATCCTGTGCTAAAGATTCGCTTGTCCCTAGAGGGCAGCCGTGTCAGCTTGAGATGCCAACAACCTCGGAGCACCGGCTCACTGGCCTCAACAAAACTCACCACTCATCTGGTTCATCATCGTCTTCGACTTGCGTCGCGTCCTCCTTCCTTGCTTCTTCCTTGGTAGACATATTCGAGACCGGTTGGCTGCAATTCTGCCTGCTTCTGTTTCGTCGAGTGGGCTGAGACAACAGGATTGAATTTTTGCAAGAACAGGTGGTCTCATAATCACCTAACACTCGGTATATTTTCGTACCAAGCTAATATACCTACCGAGCATATCAAATGTCCCAGTGACAGAGCCCCAAGCTTTTTCATACTTTCTTTTTCTCTCCGCCTTTCTACACTCTCTCCTTATTACAAAGTTTATTTTATTTCATTTCATACTTAGTCAATCTTCGATCCCTTTTTTCATATTGGCGGTATATTCCAACATGGCAACAAGGAAACTCAATGTACTTGTGTACACAGGTCAATATCCCCTCCAAAACTACTGATTCTGTGCACGGAACCCCTCATCTCATTCGTTTAAAGGTACCGGGACCACCTCCGAATCTGTCAGACATTGCATCTTCACCTTGCGCCAGCTCCTATCGCCCAATTATGCAGTCATTCCCATCAATGAATCCGTCATTCTCAAAGAACCATGGGCTCCCACCTGTGCCCTGCTGGTGATACCTGGCGGCGCCGACCTCGGCTACTGTCGGGTCCTCAATGGCGAGGGCAACCGGCGCATCAGCGATTATGTCCGCCGAGGCGGTTCGTTCCTGGGCTTCTGTGCCGGATCTTACTACGGCTGCCGCAGATGCGAGTTTGAGGTTGGGAACAAGGGGATGGAGGTAATTGGGAGCCGCGAGCTTGGCTTCTTCCCGGGCACGTGCCGAGGCGGTGCCTTCAAGGGCTTTGAGTATCGTGGAGAGGGTGGCGCGCGGGCAGTCAAGCTCAGGACTGAATCGCAACTCCTCGGAGGTGAAGTACCTGACCAAGTCGTATCGTACTTCAACGGAGGCGGAGTCTTTGTTGACGCAAAGACGGTCGGTGGCAACAAGGTTGAGGTCCTAGCATCCTACGATGAAGATATCGATGTCGATGGAGGTGATGGAAAGGCAGCCATTATTTTCTCAAAATTCGGCAATGGCAGAGTCGTCTTGAGCGGCCCTCACCCTGAGTAAGTCTCGCTAATACCTATCAAGATATCCAACTTCAAGCTCATTCTTCCTCGACAGGTTTTCTCCAGCAAATCTGAGTCCGCATCCCAATGTACCCAACTATGATAAACTCATTGAAAGTATCGGGGCTGCTGATGCTGCTAGGATGTCCTTGCTGCGCGGGCTCTTCACGAAATTAGGTCTTGAACCTGTCCAAGGGGGCGGGGGGTTGCCTGCCTTGTCCAGCCTGCATCTTACCTCGATCAATAACTCCGAGGTCTCGGAGCTTCTCAGTTCCTGGAACTCCATCATTGAGAAGGAAGACGGTCAAGAGTTTATCAGGGGTGAGGTTGACACCTTCAGGATCCGAAGTGACGAGACATCTCTTGACATGAGTGAACTCAAATCTTCACTTCCTACCACCGATGGCAATCATTTTGTGGATTACAGTAAAGTTATCAAAGAGCTTGTCTGTCATGAGAATGCTTTGCCTTCCGTAAGCGAAACGCCTCAGTTCGACCACAAATTATATTACTCCAGCCTGAAGAAGTACCAATTGCTCAAAAGCAAACCAGAGGGTTGGGGAAGCATTCTGATGTACGGCGAGGTTTTGACCAGCACGAACACTATAGTGGAGAAGTACGAACATGTCTCAGTCGTCCTTGATCAGAGCTACTAACAACAGAACAGGAATCCCAAGTTGCTGGAGCAGCTTCCCACAGGCTTCACTGTCGCTGCTACGACTCAAGTTGCTGCACGCGGGCGCGGAACAAATGTCTTCATTGCACCGCCAGGCTGTCTCATCTTCTCAACAATCATCAACCATCCGGGTCATTTGTCAATGTCCCATCCCATTGTATTTTTCCAGTATCTTGCCGCGATTGCGACTGTGGAAGCCATCCAATCCTACGATGAGGGCTATGAAGCAATGCCCGTGAAGCTAAAATGGCCAAATGACATTTGTACGTTCAGCCTACGAAACGGTGTCGGTTGAGACTTGCACTTATTTCATTTCATATAGATGCCCTCGATCCAACCTCGCCCAAGAACAAACCGACTTATACCAAAATCGGTGGCATCTTGTCGCAATGTGCCTATTTCAACGGTAACTATCAGACCGTCCTGGGCGTCGGTGTAAACGCCACCAATCGGAAACCGACTATCTCTCTTTCGGATCTCCTTCCCCCGGGCGTCGCACCTTTGCGTATCGAGACGCTGCTGGCACGCTTCTTGACCACTTTCGAATCCCTACATGCCCAATTCCTTCGCCAGGGCTTTTCAGCCGATCTTGAGAAACGCTACTACAAACACTGGCTGCATACTGGGCAGGAAGTGACCCTGGAGGCAGAGGGTGGTGTCAGAGCCAGAGTCCTCGGCATCACAAGGGATTGGGGGATGCTCCGTGTTGAAGAGATCGACATGCACGGAAGAGGCACCGGGAAACTCTGGGCGCTGCAGAGCGACGAAAACAGCTTTGACTACTGGAAGGGACTGCTCCGGAAAAAACTATAGAGCCTCACGGCATTGCCTTGGGTAGCAAGGCACTCTCTCATCATTCAAAAGCCGGACACTGCTGCATAACGGAGGATAGTGGACAAAGTATATTTACACTATAGACTACTAAAAAAGGCCTTTTTTCTGGTTTCGTCTAGCCCAGCCACCGGTCATTGACTCTGCGAGCCCTTTTATCTATCAGTCCAGAAACGCCGTGCCATGCTGCAGTAGAGAGAAGATGTACATGTAATACATGGGAGGGGTAGTTTCCCTCCCAATAGATTTTTCGTTTCCGCGCCCTCAGGCCCACGATGTGTCAACCCTGCCGGCGCCTAGATGGGCTTTGTCAACCAGGGCCGGAACAAGGGAGGGGTGCCCGAGAAGTCGTTAATTTCTTTCTTCGGTGAGTCGATGCTGCTTTCCCCTCCGGTCCATCGCCTACCGGTCCTTGTAAACCTTTGGCTTGAACCCTTCTTTTATCTCCGCCTCCGCTTCCAGCTTCTCTCTTATAGGTCCCAGCTCAGCCTCGAACCGTTCTTTGGCACGGACGATCTTGCTCTGGAGGTAGAAGCTGCCGCCCTTCTGCGGCTCGTTGGCGTCGAAGAGGCGCTTGTAGCGCTCGACGACCTCCTCCATGTTGGCCTGGCCTCCCGCGGGGGGCTTGACGTTGAGGATGCGGCAGGCCTCGTCGAGGGTCATGCTCCCGGCGAGGGCGCGGCCGCCCGCGGCGTTCCCGTTCTTGGCCTGGGCACGCTGGTATGCGGTGGAGGCTTGGGCCTGGCGGTAGGCGGCGACGAAGGAGCGGCCGAGGATCCGTGAGCCTGTGAGGAAGGCTGTGATGACGAATTTGTGCGCCTAGAATGAGAGGTGTAAGTGTCGTTGAATATAAAAACCTTCAATGGTCCAAGGATTTCCATTTCACCACCACATCAAGCCGAGGATAATGCGCCGCAAACCAGCTCAAAAGAAAGATGGAGGAAAGGAACCTATATGGAAACTCGAGGGGGGGCAGGCTTACCATTGTGTCGGATTTAATACAATACTGTAAAAACAAGCACAAGGCTTCGTCGTTGGCCTGGGGCAGGAAGTGCGTGGGAGCGACTGGGCTCGCTGCTGGGATGCGCGATCGCTTTGACTGTGGAAGCCTTGAGAAGGCAAACGGTCGATTTTTACACGGAGATCGGCGGATGTTGCCGAGAATCGGGAACCCGTGAATTTCCCGATATATTGCCGAGTTTGCAGCCACCACTTCGCGTCCATCGAGCTGAGAAAGGAAGCCATGTCACATCTTTAGACTAATAAATGGCCAATTAGATAAACTAGCCTTTGTAGTTTGCCTTTGAGTTTTTTCCCCATGCACTGATTCCCATTCAGAGAAGGTACGTCCTTATATCAGATCTTACCGATAGTATTGTGGTTTAGTGCCGGGGCTACCCTATACGCAACATAGCATTCAATTCCGAAGAACAAAAGCTTCCCGAATTGCGTTTTTGATCCATAACCACCATAAAAGATCGGCATGTTGTTTTCTAATAAAAAGTTGAATGTTTGTTACTATTAGACTGGTTACGGATTTTTTTCTCTCTACAATTTCTTGGTAGAAAGGCCAATCTAAGCCACCAAAGAGTTACAGAGAGGGTGGGGCAGTACAAGGACCTAGTCCACATGTAAGCTCATAACGATCTACCTGCAGCAATCCATCGTTAGGATGCACTTGTTTGGAGAACTAGAATTCCCTCTTATCCAGCGAAATCATTGGTCTTTCTTGTATATCACCAAGTAAAGGAGAGAAGGGGAAAGAAGGTGATATCTTCTCGTGATATGTGATTGGGCCTTTCGGATTTATCATCTACCAAAAACCGCCCCGCCATCTCATATAATCCTTTTCTCAGCACCACAACAACGTCACCAACAATGGCTATGTTAACCCCTGACGATGTTGCCCTTCTCCTGAAGAGAGAGGGGAGCGAAGGGTATCCTGGTGAAGCCTCAGACTCGGAAGCTGCTGTACAGCGAAGGACGCAGCTCCTGGCCCCTGTTTTGGCTACATGCCAGCTTGCCTGGGATTCGAGCTTGTCCGTGATCGACCTCCTCGCGGAGAAAATCGGCGACGGCAGTCGAGATGGTGAGCACCGGAATCCCATCTCCCCAACTGCTTACTTCTCATGATAAACCCCCACTAACACAGTGATGCAGTGGCATGGCGGGTACCTTTTGGGGAATCAGGGATCCTTGAGTTCTTCATTAGATTTGTTGCTCTCGATGGAATCAGCCCAACGCTTCACTTGCACGCTCTACGGACTGTTGGCAACTCTTGCGCTGATACAGACGTAAACCGAGGACGGGTGGTCGAGGGCAATCATCTGGTTGCCATCGTACACCGTCTGCAAGATGAGAGTCTCATCCCCTTCACCGTACCAGTCCTGTATAACATATTAGTCGACTATGGTGAGACGCATCCCATATTGATGAAATATTCGCCCAAAACAACCATATTGACGACCAATACTAGAACCTGCCCAAATAGCAGCATCCAAGGCCCTCTTGAACCAACAGCTCATTACGCTCCTGCAGTCACCAAATTTGACCAACTATACCCCCTTTGTGACTTATTTCTGCAAGATTCTCTTCTTGCTATCTGGCCATGAGAGCGAGGCTAGTGTGGCACACCCGAATACAGTTCCTATCCTTCTCCGTCTGGCTTTCCAGCCTCCTTTTAGTAACGACGTGGATGACTTCGTTTCCCTTGCCTCTTCAGCGGCTGCCTATCTTGCCGGTGCCAATTTCCAAGAGTCAATGGTACAAGGAGATGATTTCGGATTCCTTCTTGATGCATATCGCCACTCACTCACTGCTTTCGATATCACCCAAATCGACGATTCAGATTCAGCCGACGCTTTGAAGCAGTTACGGTCTGCATTGTTATCATCCCTGTCAGACATCTCCGCGAATGACAGCTTCCCCGTTCACCACCCTCTGGGCTCCCCAGTTCCAGAAACTCTCCTTCAATGGCTCCAGGTCCCCAACAATGCCCTCATATCAGCAGCTTGCCTTGCGCTGGGCAACATCTCTCGCTCTGACGAGACCTCATTGGCTCTTGTCCAGACACATCGAGCTCACGAGCCCCTGATCGCCCTCCTCTCCAACCCAGAGATCGGAGACCCTCAAGTTCTCCATGCAGCATTGTCATTCCTCAAAAACCTAGCCATTCCTGCACCCAACAAGGAGCTTCTCTCAGGCCTGCTGGATTCATCATGCATCCCACGCATCTTCACACTGGACACACTGCCCCAGGTCCAGTTCTCCGCCATCTCGCTCACCCGCCTCCTCCTGGTCAACTGCGTGCCCAACGTGAAGCTCGTCTGCGCCCGTCTCAGCAGCGACACCTCGAGCCCCGCGCACGACCGCTCCACCGTGCACGCCATGACCACCCTCTTCACCCGCTCGGATGCCGAGCCGACCAAATTGGAAGCCGCTCGCTCAGTCGCCGTCGTCTGCCGTGCGTTGCACTCGAACCCAGTCAAGCCCATCTTACCCGAGTGGGACCCGGAGCAGCCAGAGGACAGGGAGGACGACAGCAAGCGGCGGGAGGAATTCTACTCCCGTCACGATGTCGGTCTGCTCCTGGCATTCCTCGTCACGCAGGAGAAGTGGCCCATCCTGCGTTCCGAAGCCTGGTTCGTTCTGGCCCTGATGAGCCGCTCAAAGGACGGTGCTAGTTTACTCCTCAGCCTCTCTTTCCGGGATCGTGTCACTGGTGCTCTGTATAAAGCCATCCTGGGATCAGAAGAAGGTGCGGACGACGCCGTCACAGAGGAATCTCAAGCAGAGAGGTTACCGGCTCCAGAGGAGACATTGTTTCCTACGGGGGGAGGTGTCGAGCTGGAGCCGCAGCAGGTCGACCCCAAGCAGAAGGACCAGATGGAGCGAATTGACCGTGAGAATTGCGTGGTCATGTGCAAGGAGATGCTACGCAGCCTGGGCCCCGAGTTTCCTGAGCTGAGACAAAGCAAATGGGAGGAGCTTGTGAAGGAAGGGACTGCGCTTCTGATAAAGGAAAAAGGTGGGCAGTAATGAGACCAAGTAGGAGTTGACAGATACTGGGCGACATCAAGTAGGTAGCCAGATAATCAATGATGAATGAAGAGGTCCCAGCTTTGTTTTTATGATGCATGAAATTCCATTAACGCATTTTTAACAAATAAAACTCATCATCACTAGTATATGAGGTGCGCGCTGCTCACGTTAAGATTTTTCCATTGACCACCTGAATACAGAAGCAAAAGCCGGTCGTCATGCCGCAGTTTTCATCTTACTGGACTATAAGAGTTAAATAAAACCTCTATCCGATCCCAGACCAGAGGATTCTCATCAGAGACCCGTACCGACGTTTGCCCCTCCCTTAAGACGAGACGCAAAGAGCAAAATCCTCATAACACCGATATCCTTTTTGCAAGTTTATTTCTTGGCAGTCTCAGCCTCGGCCTTCTCCCTCTCGCGCTTCTCCCGAGGACCCTGTGCACGCTTGTTGGCGCGGGCCATGCGGAGGGCCCTGTAGGCACCACCCTCGACGGGGGCGGGGAGGTCGCTCTTCTTGATCTCAGAGAAGCCAGCGGCGGCGGGGAGGGGCAGAGCGGAGGAGATCAGGGTGACCTTCTCGAGCTCGCGGGGGTTGGCCTTGGTGTCGCCCTTCTTGGGGTTGTTGGACTTGCGGGGGAAGACAATCAGGCGCTCCTTGTAGGCCTTGAGGCGCTCGACGTTGACCTTGAGGGACTCCTCGCTGAGGTTCTGGCGGCGGGAGTCGACGGAGATGCCGACGGTGGGGGCGAATCGCTTGGGGATGCCAGCCTCCTGTAAGAGCAGCGGGTCAGAGAGTGTCCATAAACGCACTGGAAAGAGAGAAGACGCCTCGTCATGAGGGCTTCAAGGAGCGTGCGTTCCATACCTTGAGCTCGGCGAGGGTGAAACCGCGGCCAGCACGGACCCGGCGGTTGTACCTAATGGTAGGGCATCGCACAACAGGTCGGAGCTTGTCGAGAGGGCGGGGAGCGACGGCGGCAGCCTTGGCCTGACGAGCAGTGCGTCTTGACTTCTTCTTACCGGCCTATCCAAAAAATGTTAATATTCCAATTCAAGCCGGGTTTTCGTATTTTCGAATTCAATGCCGCATACCTGGTCGAAGTGGGTGCGAACCCGACGCTGCCAATCCTTGCGGAAATCTGATCGTCAAGTTAGTTGTTGCTCTTCGAGGTTTCGGTCGAGGAAATCTTGTGGTCGTGGCGGTTGATGCTTACGGTTGTTAATGAGCTTCTGGTTGTGCTTGATCGCCTGGAGAAAAGAAAACCATTAGCAAGGACAGTCTAGACGCAATTAGACATCTCATTATGGGTTATCACATACCATTGTGCCTGTTTGCGATCAAACCTGCTCCTGTTGTCGTTGGTCGTGAGGCGTTGAAATTTCGTAGGTTGACGCTGAACAATTTCACTGAAGGGTTTCTGTGCCCTACAGGAAAGGCACTTTCAGGTGGGGTCACGCTAGTCCGCTCGAATTCGAAAAATTGTGCGTGTCACGTGAAAGGTCACGGACCCTGACTGGATGCCTGACCAGAGGCCGAAGCGCCAGGCATCAACAGCTCTCAGTCCCACTTTTAGGACATATAAATTCTCAGCGCTCCTGGGTGCTTTGCTTGTTTCCCTTTCTTCTTCATACTTACCTTGTTCCAAGTTCCCTAGCTCAAGAATTGGGGGATTTAGTACGGATGGCCTGCATTGCACATCGCGGTGTCGTCCTTGCTCCATTGTCCTTCGGGGCCATGGGGGGCGTAATTTTTGATTTTGCCTGTTTTCATTGTGTGCATGGCTTCGCGCCGTGTCATGAAGAAGACGCGACTGTGTGTGGTTGAAGCTTGGCGATGTGCTGCAACCGCTGTGCTGATGAGCCTCGAGTCGAAGACTGAGATTGCCGAGAACACCAGCCAATGCCAAAGTCGATTCATCAATAAAATCATCCTTAGACTGTCATAAATGCTACGTCCCCTGCTCGTCCGTTCATCTTCTCCAATCCATTCCGGCTCCATCGGGAGAAAACGCATCTCGTGTTGATAGTGAAATTTTCCTTGTAGAGGGGACATGAGCTCATCCAGCATTTCATAGATATGATAGCATCACAGCAGTAGACTAGACCACACGGTAGATTTTGATCCCATCAGCTTAGTACAACTAAAACAATCCAGCGCGTTTCTCATGCCCATCTGTCCGGTCGCGCCCCAAACATCTTGATCGATAAATTCCGCAAGTAAAATCTAAATCTCAATTGCCGAAGATCCTCCGCACCAATCATAGTCTAGCTTTTCCCTTCTCATGCAATCCATCGAAAAATCTCATGACACCACCATCCGCCGTGCTATACACTCCGTCAGCTTCTGCGAGTCCCTCGAACTCCCCATACCCAGTCCGTCTCTCTCTTTGCGACGGCCCAGCCTCGCACCCTCCCAGAGTTCCAGAATGGCGTCCAGAATAGCATCGAGGAGCGTCAAGGACGCAACCCGCTTCACCTCGACCATCCCCCACGCCGCCTCCAAATCAGCCCAGTCCTCCGCCGCCTCCAAGGCCGCCGCACAGTCCCGCATCCCAGGGGAGACGCCCGAACAGCGAGTCCGTCGCTTAAGGCAAGCACATCTTGCTGCTCAGAGAGCGCAGATCAGCACCGCAGACAATGTCATCAATTACTCGAGGAAATTCTTCGATGTAGCACACAAGTTCACAATCGGGAGTGTCATTCTATTTACGGGTACGGTTTCCCTCCCCCGTTGCTTCTCCTCCTAGGTGGCCAATTGCCGTCCTACCTTTCAGTTTGAGGCAGACGAGACATATAATCTAACGTCAATGGCAGCTGTGGCCGGTGTCGTGAGCATTTACTCTGTCTGGGATATGCTGCAGTACAACCGCGCCCGTCGGGCCGAATGGATCGAGGCCCAGAAGACCCTCGAGGCGGACGAGCTCTCCGCAGCTCGTATAGCATACATCAAGGGCGATGCGACGGAGGAGCAGATCTTGCTCGTGGAGGAGGCCAACCGCGACGCCGAGAAGCGAGGCGTCAAGCTGCCACCTCTCCTGGCCCCCCCGGAGCACCGCACGCATTTCGAGGAGCACCTCAAGCCTTCGATCGACGGGGAGAAGGCCCCCGAGAAGGCCCAGGGCAAGGGCATCCTCGGCGTATTATCCGGCCTAACCGGCAGTAAAACCGCAACAGCCTCAGAGAGCACACAGGGAGGCAACTCAACACAGCCCACCGTGCTGGCCGCTACTCAGACTATCGAAGAAAAGGCCAAGCAAGCATGGGAAACCGAGTTGGATAACCAACGCAAGGGTGGGAGCTTAGATCAGATTGGACTCGATAACGGAGCCTCCACTCAGACACCTGCCAAGAAGGGCTGGTGGCCCTGGTAGGCGAACTCAAACAAAACAACCAACTCCAAAGTGTAGCATATTCTTGTACATTGACAGTGCATTATTAGACGGCGCTGGGGATCTTGTTTAACCGACCTTGTATATCATAAGACGTGAACCTTGGTGACTAGTTCATAAAACAAAAATTGAATAAAAGCATAGAATAATCTCTTATAAATGACTTTTAACCCAAATCTAATTCAATTGAAGCGCAAATTCCATGGCATGCGTCGACCATATACTATGAGTTCGTCACAGACCGTTGTTCAATATGCTTAATTATTTATTCAATACTATGCGGCGCTTTTGCTAGTCTGAGACAAACGCGATTCGCTGCCTTAAGACTGGCACCTATTGACATATTGAAATTCCGAAATCAAAGCAGTGTTCGCCAGCGAGTCCATCGAAACAAAAAGGAGGCGAGAGCTTTCCATGTGTAGCCTCCAAATCCAGCCAGAATCATTACATGTGTGTGCGTGCTTATCAAGGAGTGTTATAAAGCGCCAACCTGGTCCTAACGTGAGCTTATAATTGAGCAAGAAAACGCCGTGAAAACATAAGAGAGGAAGGAAAGTCAGAAAGAAAGGAAGAAAAGCCTTGTGTTCTCATGTTGCATGCTCATAAATCAAAACGCCAATTCCTTTTAATTCTCAAAGGTTCTGCCATGATGGGTTCAAACAAGCCAGGAATGCTGGCCAGAGGAGGAGATGGGGGATTCGGGAGGTTGTAACCATGATGACCCATTCTATGAGATAATGATGTGATTGAAGTGGCCTGGTACCTTCAGTCGACACTTTTCGCAATCTGCCCGATAGCCAATGCTGAAACTCCGTTTCATCCCTGGTTGCCATGTCCAGCTGTTGATTGTGTGCTTACTCCGCATATGGCCTCGGCGGGGCGATGGGCTGAGAGAATCGGCATCTGTATCATGCACCCTGTTTCGTTCAGTATCCATGGAAGCATTCGGATGTTCCATATTGTTAGGCGAGTGAAAGGGAGCAGAGTGCTCGCAGTGATCCGGTGTCATCGCTTGGGGGTTCATTAACTGATTTCCAACAGAATCATCGCACTCTGAGATGGGCGACGGAAGACGCCTGTTGTTCTGCAATGTCTGCCAGTCTGACTCTGTTGCCATTGCAGATGGAGCGCATCCATCATTGGGGCAAGAGCCATTATGGCCACCAACCGGCCCGGTGCCGGCCCATTCGCATTGTTGACCTCTCACTTGTGCTGCGAAACTTGGTTGTATGGGCGTTGGAATGCGGGTTGTAGCGTCGGAATCTCCGAGATTTGAGGCGAGGTAGGCAACTTGAGATGGCGACGTGACATTCATGGCATCCATATCTTCATCTTGAGGTTGTTGGGGGTATCCTTCCGGCGAGTACGACGCGAGATGGGGTCTGAAGAGGTGTTCCTGAGGAGCGTTGAGGGGCGTGACTTGATGCGAGCTCTTGGGCGAGGTGCGAAGAGGTAAACTTTGCAATCGTTTCTATCACAAAATCAGCTGCCACTCACTCAAAATTCATCGATACGGGCCAATGGACACTCACGTTGCGATGCTCGCTGAAGCTGGGAACTCCGCTGACCAGGTCAGGATCATCGTCTCTGCCCCGCTTCTTGGGCTGGTCCTGCATCGGATCCATGTAGTGTTGTGTGGCGAACATATCGGATGGAAGGGCCCTGATTCTCAGGGACGGGATTCTGGAAAATCAATACTCGTATGCTGCAAACGACGCCAAGTTCAAGATGCTGGCAGAACTCGAGACGGTCGGACGTCGGCAAGGAAGCGACAATATAAGTGGGCTGTTGGATGGGGTTCCAAAATCGCCGTGTAACCCACTGAGGTCTTGCAAAAGAACATGCAAATGGAATATCCAGATACTGGTTGAAGGGTTGGAGTACAGAAAAAAGGTCCAGGCAGCCGGCGACGCCCCCTGGATCGAGCTGAAAAGAAGAAAAGAATGGCTTTGACGGTAATGGTTGTTATGCGTCTGGACTCCGGAAGCTGAAGTGGACGCGGGTGGGCCTGCGAAACAGGGAGGCTTAGAACACCAGCGTGAGGGGAAAGGCCTTCCCGGTAGCGCTCTTGGCTTTGCGTGGCAAGTAAGACCGGGGTGCGTGCACACGCGCACAGGTACCAGGATGGGATCTCTGTGCGTATGTAATAAGGTCCAGGCAGAACGCAGAACAACGGACGGGCAAGGGTCGATGTCTAGAGCTGATGACAGTTTCCTTGGGATAGCACAGAACCAATGATCCGGGATAGAGTAGACGGCGGGCTGATCCAGTTGGCTGTTGAAGGTCAATGAAGGGTATGGCCTCCAAGGACAGTGAGGCAGGCGAGATCAACTCAGTTAGGACGTCCTTATGAGACAAGACAAAAAAGAAAAAAGAAGGCACAGCTGATTGTGGTGAGTGAATGACGAAGCGCAGCTAGAGGTGGAACCAGCACCTTGGGATATGAGTTGGCTGGGGAAGAAGCAGTATTAAAAGACAATATAGACCAAAGTAAAGAAAGAAAGAAAGACCGGGGCTGGATATGGGAGAAAAGACTGTGTCTTGTTGACGGTCTGGAGCGGGATAAGGAGACGAAAATCACGATGACGCGACGGAAGGCCTCCAGCTACAGGCGACTGAGCACGCTACATGCATAAAATTGTGCAGCAACCTTGTGCATACCGCTTTCTAAACGCTGACCGTTAAATACAGTACGGAGTTGGCAGAATACCAATCGAACCCTGGTGTGCCAGTTTCGCGTCATAAGGTCCGTTTTTGTACTACTCTACCAAACTTCCTAGGAAGTCATGTTATCTACAATATTCATAAGACAAGGTAATGGCATCTCGAGAGTTATTAATCACTGTTTGATTTTTCAACTGCAACAACTAAAGAATGAAACACACTGAGTTGGCATATATAACAAAGGATGAACGACAAGTGTTCCCAACCACCTCAGTTTTGTCTATTGCAGCCTGCGCGCATTTGATTTAAGTCAATTGCGCTCTTCCCAACCCTAGTTCCCAGATTTGCACGTACATAGATTAAATGTATCTGGACGCTTTATTGTAACAACTGAAAGTGGGGGAGAGAGGTCTAGTGGCCAAATAATGTAGGCCTCAACCCAGAGTCGATTGCTATCGCCAATGCCAAGCTTGAGTGGTAGTTTCAGGCAAAGAAGGTGAGCCCGCCTTCAATGGGATCAAAAAGCTAGCTTTTGTGGCTTTATATTAGCTTTTCGTATTGCTCTGCAAACCTTGATGAAAGCAGGTTTTTGGATTCTTTTTTTTATTGCTCGAGATCTCATGCTGTATATAGAGTTTATGGTCTATTAATTGTGTTTTTTTTCTTCTTCTTTATCCTTGTACGTCTCGCTTCCCTTCCATACGATAGACACAGCTGGTAGCCTAGTAGCAAGGAGCTGGGATCGGTGCGATGGCGGAACAGTTGTCATCAGTATTTGGAGCTTATTGATCATCCTCAGCTTGCTTCAACTTAATTGAAGGAAAATCTTAATTTAAGTTTGCTAAGAAAGATCTCACATGATATGTGGTCATTACCCCCCAGCATTGCAGAGATGAATATATAAACAGGCAAGAAGGTCAATGAAAATCCCGTGTCGTCCGACCAACATATTCAAGTGGGAAAATATTTCAGAAACACACCATGGGCCAGACACATAGTGCACGGTCCGAGGCTAATTCCAAAAAACCCGGAGGTAGGAAAAATATGACAACCTCGGAAGTAGTTCAAAATGACACTTTCAATTCTTCTCCTTCATGTGTAAAAGAGAATCACAGGAAATAACTCGTTGAGCCAACAGACCCACCGCAACCGCCTCCAGCATACAGCGAACACCGCCGATTGATTGTTTTACCCCAAAAACACATGCTGGTTATTAACGAGAATGTGAACCTCGTAATGGAAGAGGTGTTAAACAAACTGGAGGCTGAACTCGAAGGCTCCCCTGGTCTGCTTGATGCTGCCGGTCATATTCGCGAGAGCTGTATTGTGGCTGCCACCACAGTCGCCAGAACGATGCTACCAAATATAGCACATAAGGACTTGCATGAGGACTTAGTGAAAAGCGAAGTGCGACTCACAGATTTGCTTTTCGATCTAAAGAGCACTATAGTTGTGGAAAACCAAGTGGCAATCGGGATGATCTGGGCGAGCGCCGTGACACGGGTTGCCTACCAGACGAGGTCGGACAGCAAGGACTACCGAACAGGAATCTGGGTTGCGATCCTGGTCGAAGTCGTTCATAAGAAAGCTGCGGATCTTGGTTTAGTGGAGTTCAACAAGATTCGAGGGGTCACGAAGGTTTGAGCGTCGCTCTGTTGATTCGGCCCAGCGTTTTTTTTTGGGTACTGGCATGGTGGGTGATTGACTACCTGGCGGTGTGGAAAGAGGGGTGGCAGACGACGACAAGCGCGGTAATTAGGACTAGGTGGGTGTCGACAACGAGTCAAATGCGCCTGTTTTTGTCTTATCATATTCGATTTAGGTCAACTGTTGGTGGTTAGGTTTCTATCTTTGATAGCTCTTGAATTTCTGCAACTTATTAGTTTGGCAATGATTGACCAACTCGAGCTGCAACCGAGACTTGTCGATGTAGAAGAATGAGTTGAAAAGAATAAAGAAAAGGGATATATAGAGAAAGAACAATGAGAGGCCGCAGATTGACACACATTGACACACATTGAGACACACATGGACATACACACGCCGACACTCACACAGTGACCTGAATTTATAATCGCAAGCACTGCTGACGACAACGGGCAACAGCATTGACAATGGCGGGCAACAACATTGACAATGGCGGGCAACGATATTGAGCCAACAAGGACAGTCCAGCATTTTCCCCTTCAATGCCCAAAAGTCCAATACGCTATGATATAACGTCAGGTCAACATCATTAGAGTTTTCTCGAATACTAGGTATTTTGTTGGGTGTTTCGCTGGTTGCGAGGTTTTGTAAACCTTCCCGTTGTACCAGTTTAATGAAGGTGGAAATGCGACAATTGTTGCTTGGGTTTACCGGAAGCGTGGACCCAGGTGATGAAAAATAGAGTTCGAAGCGCAGCTCATGTGATGTAGATTGATGGAAGGGCACATAGCCAACCTGCTACGCGATCTACGATTATTCGATATCTGTCCTTTCGCTACACGTTGAGCAAATGGTAGCAGCTAGCAAATCCAAATAGTTTTTGGGGTATACATAACCCCCTGGCTCAGTAGCATAGATCGCTATGTGAAAATTAATGCCCGCAGTCGGAGAGCTGCCATTGGAACCTTCCATTACTCGAGTAGCTAGCTACCTATGGCCTATCACAGAAGACAGCAGCGTCACATGCTGGCAAATGCTGGCGGGAACCTCCGAAGATGTGTTAGAGAGAAAGCGACGCATGCTCCAGATAAAAAAAAGGAAGTTTCGAAAGCGTACTGAGAAAATCCCATTCAAATTCAACTGGAAGCATTAACGACGCCTCCAGTTTGATTTTATGAATCTAGAGATCTACACTGGATGTCTGGACATGCCACGATTTGATCACCCTAGCACTATTCTCCCGGGTCTAAAGGAAGATGGTGGGGGGCTAACAAATGCCCCTCTGTGATGAATGAGTCTTAGGCCCCTCCGAACCGGCGCAGTCCCTTACGTTTGCTGTACTGCTATTCGCCAATGTTCTTGAGTCACTCGAGAATTCTGTAGCGCTCCATCGCTACATCATAGCCATACAGCTTTTCATGCTACTCGATTACATATTTTCCCCTTCTCGAACAGGTTCACCGCTAGTAATTTTTACAAGTTACTCACTCAGTCATTGGCTTGGGCATTCTACCACTTGTTGCGCTTGAAACCTTACCCAGATTTCGTGCGACTTGCCACTCTGTCTTGCACAACTTTTTCTTCCAATCATACAGATCCCATATCCAACATGCCTGGAACCGATCTGGCCCCGCAGGTCACGGATGATGTGAGAGGTATGTGCATTGCTGTCACGATAGCTGCAAATGGACACCGACTCTTCGCTCCCCTAGCAAAATGCCTAGCAATTCCCATGGCTCGGATCCTCACCCCCCACCTGTTCTCCGCCTACAAGACCTTATGCTAAAAGTGTTGTCAACGCAGTCCTCGGACAGGATCCTCTCATCCCTCCGGCCCTGTTGACCTCCGAGATCCCCCTGCCCAAGGAAGCGCTCGACACTGTCGTCCAGGGCCGAGTCGACGCCGCTAAGATCATCACTGCCCGCAATGACCGACTCTTAGTTGTGGTCGGCCCATGCTCCATCCACGACCCTGCTGCAGCCCTTGAGTACGCTGGCCGACTCAAGGAGCTTTCGAATAAGCTCTCCAACGACCTCTGCATCGTCATGCGTGCCTACCTGGAGAAGCCTCGTACCACCGTGGGCTGGAAGGGTCTGATCAACGACCCCGATATCGACCAGTCCTTCCACATCAACAAGGGTCTGCGCGTGTCGAGAAAAATGTTCGTCGACTTGACCTCTCTTGGCATGCCCATTGCCAGCGAGATGCTCGATACCATCTCCCCCCAGTTCCTCGCCGACTGCATCTCCGTGGGTGCCATTGGTGCCCGAACAACCGAGTCACAGCTTCACCGAGAGCTCGCCTCTGGTCTTTCCTTCCCTGTCGGGTTCAAGAACGGAACCGATGGAAATCTCGGCGTGGCTATTGATGCCATTGGTGCTGCCGCATCCCAGCACCACTTCATGGGTGTTACCAAGCAGGGTCTCGCTGCCATCACTCGTACGAAGGGTAACGAGCACGGCTTCGTTATCCTCCGTGGTGGAACCAAGGGCCCCAACTACGACAAGGAGAGCGTCCAGGCCGCCAAGAAGGTCCTGACTGACAAGGGCCAGAAGCAGGCCATCATGATTGACTGCTCTCACGGTAAGAGAATAAATTCTTGACATTTGATTCCAAGATTTGCGTGTTCAATATGCTGACCACAATCCTTAGGTAACTCCCTGAAGAACCACAAGAACCAGCCCAAGGTGGCCAAGGTTGTTGGTGACCAGCTTCGCGAGGGTGAGACCTCCATCGTGGGAGTCATGATCGAATCCAACATCAACGAAGGTAACCAGAAGGTCCCCAGCGAAGGACCTGCTGCTTTGAAGACCGGCGTCAGTATCACTGACGCCTGTATCAACTGGGAGGACACCGTCACTGTTCTGGAGGATCTTGCCGAGGCCGTGCGGGTTCGTCGTGAGGTCATCGCCTCCAAGTAACCCCAAGCCAGCTGAGGGCACCATTCTTGAGGCGAAAAAGTAATGATCGAAACACGTGCGGGGCGCGCTATCGAGGAAAAGTATTCAACAGAAGGTACCTAGAAATACACAAACTTGACCTGTATTATTTTTGGATACCTGGATCATAGAGTAGGGAAACGGAGTCAAAAAGTCAAAGTGATATAGTTGTGGCGTTGGAAGAGAAAAAAAGGGTTACCAATTGTTCCCGATATTAAGGGCCTTTCCTTTATCTGATGTGATGATATCACAATAACAAAAATATACAAGTATGTTCGCAGGTTCGTCGGGTCATCTTAGAATATCGTGCACAAAAACTCCAGAACTCCATCGTCCCAAGATGGTCCGCTGTGCCAGACAAGGATGGACCATTCGTAAAGCATCTTGACCAACGCTCGATCATCATCTTTGAGGGATATGACCGTAGTTCATGCTATTCCTGTTGGCTGCCCGCTGCTGTCTCCACGCCATTAAACGTCTGATCGCTGCCCAGCCAAGCAGACCAAGAGTGCCGATGAGGAAACCCCAAACGATGAGCCTGTCCTTGATGCTATCCCGCTTGAAGCATTGTGTCGCGACGTCCGACTCCTTGGCCTTTTCGCAGATATCTAGCTCCTGGCCGAGGCAGAAGGCCTTGGTGCACTCCGCGCATAGACCCGACACGGCTCGAGGCGATTCGTTCACTGTGGCATCATCGGAGGAAACAAAGCTTCGGAGGCCGGCAAAGGCGAGATCGGCGTGGTTATTAGGTTCGGCAGGCTCGTCCAGGATTATGAGAGTACTGTTTTTGAAGCATGTGCATTTGCAAAAGGTGGGAGAGCCTGGTGAAGTTAGTCTGGCTGATGCTCTCACCAATTGAAAGGGCATACATGGGTGCAACTCACCACCTGCAGATACTAGGGTTATCAAGGAAATCAGATAGAGCAGTAATAGATTGATGCGCGCCATCGCGATGGTTGGCATGTTAAAAAATTGTCTTCTTGGCTATTGAATGCCAAGTTGAACGTCTCTTTAGAAATGCGATGCGACCGTCATAATGGTGAGCTGTGCACATCTAAGACGAAACGGTTTGAGGTCGCAAGCAGTCTAATAATAATCGTGGCTAGTGCAGTGTGGCTAGTGCGCTCGGAGCACACGACGAGAGCGACGCTGATTGGCTACCGAGCCCATTGACCAGAAAAGTCGGCCGTCTTCAAGATTTGGCCATGAAATCTTCCCAAGGCGATTCCCCATACGCCAATCGTCAACCTTCAACGCCATAATGCCCCGAATACCGCGTGTAAGGGGGCTTCAGTCCTTCCAAATTGCTTCGGCTTCTTCAAAAACCCTCCCTCGGTTGCCGTTCTCTGCGACCCGCACCCTCTCGACAACGGCACCAGTTTGCGACCTCCGAAGCAAGCTCTGGAAGGGACCGGCTCCTGGACCAGAGGATCCATATACCCAACGGCCCGAGCCTGAAGAGCCCTTATCGAATCTCCCGGAAGAGGCAATTTCGATCCCTCGACATCCCAGATCAGTCGCCAAATGGCGCCTGCCTCTTCCCCCCAAGCGCACTGAAGCCACCACTGAGAAGGAATTGGCTGCCAACGACCCTACATATACCCCAGCTTTGACAATCGAAGAACTGGAGGAGATCCCACCCTTTAACAAATGGTGGGATCAACCAGAACACTGGGGTAAGGAGAGCGAGTTTCGAAGTTTTGGAAAGGCTGAGAAGGAAGTTGAAAGGACCATCATTGAAGTACAAGTGAGACGGGCCGTGGTTGAGGTGCTGTCTCTCCAGCAGGAAAACAAGCTTGCCGAGCAGCTCGTGAAGAGGTGGCCAGAGGGTTCCAGGGAAGCCCTTGAGCAGACGTTAGCTGTAGAGATTGTCGGTGAGGATGGTCAATTCTCGCTACAGGGAGATGTTTCCTCTGTCGTGAGCCACCTGACTCAAGACGCCGCCGGCTCCAGCGAAGAGGGCTCTCCCAGTATCACACTTGAGGAGGCTGCTGAAATCACAAAGAAGTGGGACGCCAAGTGGAAGGAGATCAAGGTGAACGATGAAATCAAGTTTGCTGTAAGTACCTATATGCGTGGCATCCTACCACTTTATTATATACGCACAAGCTCTGACCTCCGAGGCATAGATCCGCAAGCGCATTTACCAGCTTACTGGAAATTTGATCCCCGACTCCAAACTTGGCGCTGCCAGAAATGTGAGGGACGTTCTTACCACGTTGTTCCAGCAACGCAAGCCTTCTAGCCTGGCTGATGAGCTCTTGGCCAAGCCCGAGGTAACTAAGCTCCCCAATGTCCGGGTTCACAGCCGCAAGGTCGGCCCCATCGACAAAGAGATTGAGATTGGCCGATGGAAGATCATTGAGGAGGAACTCAAGAAGCGTGACTTGCCCGTCACTGGTACGGACAACCTTTCCGGAAACAAGGAGAGAGAATGGATGAGGGGGAAGATGTAAAATAACGACGTTATATCCCGTGTTGTCTGTATGATATGGCCCCCCAGGCTGACTGTATATTCTATACATGTATACTACAATAATCATGGAGTGTTTTCATGGCAGGTAATGGGTGAAACAGAATTGACCTGAATTGATTGGGTATGAGTAAAACTTAACACTTGACTTAGACACTTATTTAATGCAAGGCTAGACATGAGCTTTAATGGTTGTTACCTTCTCGTTTTTGACACTGCTAGGTATGTTGTTCACCAACCAAGAGTTACATGACTTGAACCACTCGGACATCGAACGAGCTACAGGCAATCTAAAAGGCTAACCGTCCGTACTTTTGGGCTCTTGAGTCCCATTAGTCTCATGTTGTTGCGCCAGCAGTCTCATCTCGCAAGAAGGACAGGGAGAGTTACCGTCTTTGGTTATCCAGATCTTCTTCCCCTGCATTTCAGAGGTCCACATTTTGAATATGGTAGACAACACTCCCCCTCTCAAACGATCGCAGTAGTAGCATTTCTCAAAATTGATTTCAGACGATGGCATTTTAGACGTTCGGCTGTCACTGACTTGGAAGTGGTTGTTGTTTCCTGGATCTCAGGTAGTTGACGTGACGTGGATGAGGGAAACTTGGTGCTTGACATGGGCTCATCTAAATACGAGAAACAATAGACAATCGCGAAAGGTTCGAACAAATCGGGTGTTTGATCTGATTTTGCTAAGATATTTTCTTTGTGTATCCCGACAAAGGATTCCCGTGTGATTTCCTGGAGAAGCTGCTACCCGTACCTACCTATATCTGTAAATGTACAAGGGAAAACAAAGCGAATTTTTCGTACTTGCCGGGCATCATTTGGAAAGAGCTGCCTGTCTCCGAACTCTGATTCATGGGTCTGAGGTTAATGCACCATTGTTAGTTGGAAAGCCGATCAATGGATGAACAAAGAACATTTCCTCTGTATAAGACTAGCCAGACCTCTGAAATCATCGTGATTGAAATTACATCCCACGGCCATTTTTATCTGCCATTTCTATTGACCAAGTGCAACATGGAGGCCGCAGACCACCCACGATCGCCCCTTGCCGCGGCCTTCTGGGACACACCACTGTGTATACCTCACTTTGCCCAAATTGCGGCTGAGGAACTGGTGTCACCTCACAATTCGGATCTTGCTATCAGGAATAGGTTGGACACTGAAGGATCAGACAATCCACCAAGCACAACCAGACGCATCCAACCAGCGCGAAGAGCCACCAAGAGGATAAGCTATTCTCAACGTGGACAGCAGTCACAAGCACAGAAAAACGAAGCCGTCGAAACCTTGAAAGACAACTTGTTAAAAATCACGACATCGCCGCATGCATCTTTAACCGATCGCGTCAAGGATATAGGCTACCAGCTCGGGCAACTGGCCGCCAAGTTGAAATCCCAGAAAGAAGAACAGAAGAGTTGTGTATTCGGGCTTGGTTCTTGGAGTTGTCGTTTATGCGCTGAAGAAGCCCTCGCGAAATCCAGCAAGATATTCCAGGCGTGGGAGAAGAAAAAAGAGACAGTCCAGCCAAGTATAAGCATAGCTCCGGAGGCTGAGATGAGCCCAGATGAGTTTACGTTTATCAAGGAGATCACGAACGGCAGGGGAGTACAAGTTCCAGTCGATATGCGGTTTAGGATTGGGACACTTTTATTCGGTCTAGACATTTGCCAGGCACCGATGGTTATCATATTATGATTCTGTATAAGTTGCAAGTAACTCCAGCCCGTTTTGTTAAAATATCAGGCGCTCCAAAATAGCGAAATGAGTTTATCAGTGTGAATACATAAGGTATTGCTTAACTGGTTTTTGACAAGTCAACATATACTCCTCAATATGGTCTTTGAGGGGGGGTACCATGTGCGAGCACTGTGGGAAGTCTGAATTCTGGCTTTTTTTTTCACCCATTGGGCATCCAATTCACTGAGGAAAGTTTCTTGGCGATTCCAATTACCTCTAAATTATCGTCTCGTTTGCATACTATGAAATTGGATCTCATCTCCAAAAGACGGGCGGATACATAGCCGATACACCTTTGACCGTAAAATTCATAACAACTTGGGTTGAGAGATCTAATGACGAAGAGTAATAGTTATTTTGTCTCTACTCTGCTCACCCGGGACAAATTAGTTTTGGGCCTATGCGGTGGGATAAAAGGAATGTATCTACGGGTTGGTCTTTTCGGTAGAGAGGCTCTTTTGATGCAATTGAAGATGGGCCAGGGACTTTTTCTCTGGATACACATACCAACACAGGATACATTATGCACCCTGGTGAACGCCCAACGGCTATCGGGGGACAAGACAGGTTTGCCATGAGAGAAGCCGAAGTGAGGAGCAAAAACCTCACACCGGGCGGAGTTTCGTCTAGAGTGAATTTACGTGGCTAAGCGATGATAGCGACGGTGGCATAGAGATGACTTCTCAAACGAGTTAGCGTTTTGGAGCTGCATGAGAAGAGAGGCAAATGCCTGCAACGTGAAAGGACGAAGCAGGCCCGTGGCTGTAGCATTGGCATGCTCCAGGGTTGAATGTGCTGATGACGTGCACTTATCTCCATCTTCTCTGCAGATGGCTAGCCCTTTTGAAGGCAGAGAGTGGAGCAAGATAGCAATATTCCGTGATCCCATGATTGATTGATAGTGCAGAGTGGACCATCTCCGCCCAGGGACTCTGATCCTCTTGACCGACATTCAGGTGTTGTAAGTGAGGCAATATTGCTCCTGCAGCAGAGGCTGGACGGGGCACTTGATGTTGGGCGGGCTATAAAGGAAGAGCAATCCTCCCGCTGGTATTGAGCCTTTTCTTTTCTCTTCTCCTCAAGTAGAGTTTCATACTCGAAACGAAAACGCTTTTTACAAACATTTATACCCAAACGCTTGTTTTTAGGTTCTATTACCTTTGAACTTATATATATATTATATCAAAATGGCTGGCGACGGTGAATGCACTAGCTCCACCTCCGGTAGCGGCAGCTGTAAGTCTTGCTTATGCTCATACTCTTCACCCTCACAGGAGTTGAGTATGAAGAGAATGAATACCAGAGACCAATTACTGACATGATTCCAGGCTCCGGCTGCTCGTGTGGCGGCAACAGCTCGTAACCGCGCACTCTTTTCTTTTGTTCCTTAAAATAAAACTATAGACGACCATGAAGGACTACACATACAATGTCTTTCCGCCACAACCCCGAGGCAATTGCCGCCATTCAACCACTTATTATTAGCGTTCGCTCGGGACCGGTTTCGACTTGGACGCAACGAGATATCGGCTTCGATTTTATGGATTACCTTGCGACGCGATACGGTACATAGATACCCCACGATACGATATGAGATTATCATAGAGATCGGGCTATTTTCAAGTTGGATATATGATCAATATTTTGTTTTGGGTATATACTCCGGATTTGTTAGCTGTTAGTCACTCCTTGAAATCTATTTTCTTTTGTCGACACCAAGTGTGCCTGGCTGCCAAGTGCGTGTATGTGTGTGTCTTGTAAGTTGTCAGTGTGTCTGGTCAGTGTCAGTGCCCGTCAAGTGTAAGTCTCAATTTGGCATGTGCCCAGTACCCGGAGTCTGGTCTGACCCTTGTTCTGGGGACCACTTGCGCACCTCAGGATTTCGCGGAGTGCTGCGGAGGCTGCTGGGCGATCCCCGGATTTGCATGTGACAGCCGAAGGGCAACTGCCTACTAAGCTCTGCCGGGCGACATCTGCGGGCGGAATGGGCATTGCTAGATGGGGGCGAGGGCGGCTGGCCGGTCCTCATATTGCCTTTCCTCTCCCGTCCTTGTTGCAGTACTTACTACCCTCCCGCATTCATTCATCCCCTTCCATCCGACGGCACCGCTCGAGGAAGACCACGTCGACTACTACCACTCGAGGTGGCAGACCAAGAAGAGCAAGAGTCGCCTGCATACGACCCTCCTCGGTGACGTTCTCACCATGCGATAAGGCGAAGCAAGCTCGACATCCATGTACACCTGTGCTAGACGATGCCATGGCTGCATACTGAGAACGCGACACAGCGCGAGATTGAGGAACGCTGCAGTGGGCTCTATGCGACAGCCGATGACCTGGACGTCGACCTTTGCTGCCGCCTGCGCTTTCATACCACCTAAAGTCCTGGACCGAGGCGCTACGCTGCGCTGACCTGAGCCACCAGACAGGCTACAGCAGCCGGGCCAGGCACTGTACTAGACCTACAGCACTAATTGACAGCGCATGCAGACACCCGCCACGGCCACCCATTTTCATGGCTGCGTTTGTGAGTTGGCGCCCACTCCCAAACTTAGATACGTACATCATACTTCCCCAAACCATCACCAGCTTGCGGGCTCTCTTTGATTCTTTCCTTCCCTGCCTGTCTTTCCATCACCTCCTGCCTGCCATCAATGCTGTCGTTGGTCGAGTAATGCTGTGTCGCACCTAGACGTATGCACGTCATGGGGCTCGTCGATCACCACAGACTTGCGACTTGAATCATCAGCGTTGATTGACTTGATCGGCTTGGGTACACTGCACCAGTAGAGCAAAGCTTGTCACGATCTTGTTTGCTAATATTGAGCTATGCGTCATCAGGAGACTCCCTGGCTGTCACAACTCAGCTCCCCCATGTCGTCCCGCGACAACTCCTCTGGCAATCCCTTGCCTACCTACGACGGCCAGGTTCCCAACGGCGCACCACCGACATACGCCGCCTTTTCCCCCGTCACACTATCCGCCAACACTCCCTCCCGATCCGCCCGTCGATCTACTATCCTGGTGCATCAGAAGAGTCCTCTCCTCCTTGCGACGCCTCCCCAGGTCACCCGCGCCCTTGCTTACAGCCACCCGTTTATACTGCCTCTCAATACCCTTGCTGGCCTCTTGACATGGAGCTCCGGGGACCCGTGGCAGAGCTTCCTGCTCTTGTGCGCATTCTGGGCTGTCACGCTATACGGTGACATTGTCGTCAGATGGGTTGGACCTGTGGTGGTCGGTGCCTCGCTCATCGGGGGTATGTACGGTAGGAGATACAGCCCTCTGAGTAGTAGTGGATGGAACGAACCAGGCAGGGAATCCAAAGATGGACGTCCAAAGAATGCAGGAGCAGGAGGGCCGAGCCAGCCGAAAGGAAACCTGGCCAATACGAGCGAGAAGCAGACCAAACATGCGAGGAACACCTCCGAGGTCACCAACACGAAGCACCAGAAGACTCTAGACGAAATCGTCGATACTCTGAAAGAGCTCACCGGCAGGTGTAATGCGCTGCTGGAGCCTCTTATCGAGATGACAGACTTTTTGAGCACGCAGCGTACTCCCACCAGTGCTACGACCAGACCGGCACTTACAGCCCTCTTTATGCGCCTTCTCATCATCACACCTTTCTGGATGATTCTAGCAGCCCCGCCGTTGAAACTGATATCGACAAGACGGGTCGTCTTAGTAGCTGGCACCCTTATTCTGACATGGCACTCTCGGGTCATGCGGGTGTCCAGGGCGATTCTGTGGCGGAGTACCATGGTTCGACGGGTGGCCACCATCACTACAGGCCTAGAATTTGAAAAGCCCGTTAAAGCTATGAAGCCCAAAGATTTTGCAGCTAAGAAGGGCAGCATCAAAGCGGGCAAGAGTGAATCAGAGCTTACCAAGGCTATAAAGTCACCAAGTCTAAACGTCAACCACCGGAGATCTGGCAGCGACAAGAGTGCCGGAGTCAAATTTACATTTATCATATACGAGAACCAGCGCCGATGGGTCGGGTTGGGCTGGACCACCAGTTTATTCGCTTACGAGCGACCGGCGTGGACGGACGAGCATAACAATCCTGTCCCGCCCAAAGATGAATTTGAGCTTCCCGAAGTTGAGGATGAGAGCAACATGCGATGGAAATGGGCGTCTGGTAGCCGATGGCGAGTGGACGGGGTTGCGGATGACCATGGGCTTGTGGACTACGACGGTGATGTAGGCAAGACTGGATGGATTTACTATGATAACAAGGTGAGTGGTCCGCGGCACTTGTCACATCGCAGCCTCTAGTATTCTGACTGATTATTTTGATTTAGTGGGCGAATGGTCGCAGGGGTCAGGATGGTTGGGGAAGATGGACCCGACGCAGAAAATGGTATCGCGACGCAGAGCTGGTCGAGATGGAGGAGAAGCCGGCCGCCCATGAGCTAGACGCAAGCTTGCCAAAAGTGACGGTATCGGAGCTGCACAGCGGGTACAGTACCGTTGGGGAGAAGATGGTGACGCCTAGTATGCGCGTGGAGCCAGTCCTGCCTCAACTCGACCATTCGATAGCAGAGCATCTTCCTCACTCTGCGGATGACCATTCCAGCATCGCCACTGTGGGTGATGACTCCCTGTCTCTTGCATCGACATCGTCCAAGTCTTGGGGCTTCCGGGCTCCGTCTCTGCGGAGACGGCCAACCGACCGGTCATCAGTGGATAGAGACCTGAACCGGCGGGCGCGGAGGACGAGTGATGTATTCGCTGATGAGGATGAGAGTACGAGGGGATTGGGTATTGAAGTCGAGACGGAGATACACAAGGGGGGGAAGGACGGCGGACAGTGGGGGATTAGCGAAGAGTCGAGGATGAGTCTAGAGTAACAGCTCAGACAGTCTGTACTACCTAGTTCTTACCCAGCCAAGTGGGTGACATTGAAATTGAGACACTCAAACATTAATCTGCTTATTTTCAAGCCTGCGAGCGGTATTATCAGATTATTGAGTACTAATATTAAGAGACAATACAGCATATATTGTCACTTGATTTCTTTTTATACTACTGAATTTCTCTATTCATCATGAAAAGTAGTCTAGGTATTTATACGGAGTAATGACTCTTCCATTGGGTGTCTCATTCCCCTGCCACCCACTTGCCAGCCATGTAGCATGCTCATCGCAACTTAAGTAGACAAAGGCAATGGTCAAGCAATCAATATACTTCTTCGGACGTCCATCTTTGGATTCCCTGCCTGGTTCGTTCCATCTACTACTACTCAGAGGGCTGTATCTCCTACCGTACATACCCCCGATGAGTGAGGCACCGACCACGTCATGCGACGGGCGCAGCGCTGAGGGAGGAGGACGACTTACTCACGAACTTGTTCTCAGCGGCCTAGTGGATCAGCGGATATTCCTACACCTCATGGAGCCATGAAACGAGATTGGGGAATTTGACGCTTTCATGTATAAGAAGGCATCGCCAATCGCCCTACCGCACTGTCCCCCTGCCGGCGGGGCGGTTAGCCAACACACGACTTTCCACGTTCCAGTTGTTACCGCAGTACCTGATACAGGCAGTTCGCAGGCAATACCTTAAAAACCCTCCGCGGGCCTTGGGTGCCTGGAAACTGGCGTGTTGGTGCTTGTATTTAGGGACTAATAGGCGGGGTACAACGTCACCATTTCACATACGACTATGGTAGATCGAGGCTAGACGTTGGGATCGAGGAACATGCCTGTTATGCGGGAGGTGCCACGGGATGCTCGCTGAAAACGAATAAAATGCAACTCTCCTATAAAGCTCCGGCCGACCCCTCATTCCTCCAACGCAATCGTCGACAACCTCAACCTTCTCAACATACCAGACACATTCTCCTACTACAACAACACACAGCAAACACACTACCGCAGCCATGTCCAAGTCCCGAACCCCCCTCCTGATTGCGACAGCTGCCGCGGGCGGCGTGGGATACTACCTGTATAGCGCTGGCGGGAACGCAAAGGCCGCTGAGAACAAGTTCGAGAGTAAGTCGTCCTCCTCCCCCAGCGCCGCCCCCGTCGCATGACCCAAAGCAATCATGCCCAAGCGGTTTCCCCCGAAATCATACTATCGAGTTTGGAGAAGCTGACCACGGGACTCGTTCCCCCTCTCGCATAGGCGACGTGCACAAGGCTTCTGCCAGCGTCAAGGCGCGACTCCCTGGCAGCTCGCCGAACACTGAGAAGGATCTCAAGGGCTACGGCGCCGAAGCGGGTGCTAAGATCGACCAAGCAGTACGTTCGGCCCACCAGGCCCATCCCTTGTGCTATTTTCATATCTCGGTCCCCTTCTCTGCACTCGCCCTCTGCATTTTCACCTCTTTGATTTCTTTCGCGCATCGCAATTGCGCAGGCTGGGCCGTTCCACATTCAGCCGGGCGACGAATGCAGCGAGCTGGGCAATTGGCAAACTGGTGATGATCCCAAGCCCATCCGAGGAAAACAGCCGTGTTGACGTCATTACTCGCTGCTTCGTCCCGCAATCCACATTTCCGCCATTCCTTCATTTCCCCATTGCCGCAGATCCACTTTCGTCCCAACTGCCGGACCGTGAACCGCTTTTTCATTAGATCGCATTTTGCTAACGGAGGTGCAATTTGGGCAGATCGCCGAGGCGGACAAGCAGGCCGGCCGACTCAAGAGCAATGCCGAGGCCTACGCGAAGGAGGCTCGCGCCGAGACCCTCAAGGCCGTCGACAAGTTCGACAACACCGTCCAGGACGGCACCGCCAAGGCCAAGGGCGGCATCTCCAGCTGGTTTGGCGGGAGCAAGTGATGGGCTTTGCTGTCTTCTTCCTCCCTCGGCAGTCCACGGTCCAGACAGCTGCTCTGCCGCTGAGAGAGAGAGAACTGTAAACCCCCCGAGCCGTTACAACTTTGCATTATTCCTCTTTTTGTCGTTTTCCCCTTGATCCCTATGTACATATCAGGCAGTAATGATTCGGACCACCATGCCAATGTGCTCACATTCATATCCTCGCGATGAATGAAAACCAACAAGTGCCATGGCATTCTTCTTAGGAGCCTTAATATATATCTATTTTTCTACATACACACATGTGGCAGGCCGCCTACCATTCTAGTGTGGCGATCCATCATATCATTTTGCACCCTGAAACCAAACAGAAGTAAAATTGATACATCCCAAGTTGACTCCTGTGCCATTACCAAACGCTTGAAATAAAGGAGGCACATTACCAATATAAGCCAAGAAAAGACATAAGGGTAGAAAGAAAAAGAAAACTAAGATTAGACCCCTCAATCTAAAGGGGAGGAAGCAATTTGGTTTTTTCCTCATGACTCCAGCCCTGCGGCAACCAGTTTAAGAATCTCCTCAGTCCCCTTCCTCGCGTTCCGGGGATCCTTGGCCACGGACTGCCAGATCTCGCCGTGCCGGGGCTCGTTGAGCACGCACTTGGTGACGACCTCCTCCTTCTTCTCCGTGGTCCCGTGCTGGCACAGGAAGCGGTAGTACCACGCCCAGGTGTCGCCCTGGTCGCTGTCCAGGACGAGGGCGCGCTCGAACCAGTTCTGCGCCTTCTCCAGCTTGCGGTCGGCCCAGAACATGCGCGAAACGGCAACCAGCAGGATGGGGTCATTGTCGACGGCCTTGAGGGCCTCGAGGCTGCGCGGCCGCCGCTGGGTCCGGGGTTCCATGTTGGTGATCCTCTCGGCCCAGAGGAGCCCGCTCTTGGGGAACAGCTGCTGCGCCTTGGCCATCATCGTCTTCGCCTGGGTGGTGTTGCCTGCGCGCTGCTCCAGGCGGATGGACTCGCACCAGAGCTCCGTGCTCTTCGGTACTGCGAGTCGGGCTCGGTCGAGGACGGAGCGTGCTTTGACGACCATGCCCGACTTCTCCTCCAGTCGTGAGTACAGCAGCCAGAGAGGGACCGAAGCAGGGACTGCCTTGACTCCGGTGCCGTATGCCTCTCTCGCCTGGCCGACCTTGCCGAGGTCTTCGTAGATCTGCCCCTTGAGCATCCAGAGCTTTGGGGCAGCGGGGAAGAGCTGCAGTGCCTGGAGAGTCAGGTCGAGAGCCGTCTCGGAGTTGCCCAAGACTCGCTCGAATACGACGCTCTTCATCCAGACGCGATCAGTGGGTGCCTGCTCACGCGCGACTTCCAGCAGCTTGCGAGCTTGTTCCTCGTTGTCGCTCTCCGACTCCAGTTTAACTGCTGCCAGCCAGATGTCCTCGTTGTTCGGGTTCTGGTTAAAAGCCCGCTTCAGAACCAGCCGGGCCCCATCCACCTCGCCAGCTTGCCACTTCTCCTTGGCCAGTAGCATCCACAACTCCTCATTCTTGGGGCATGCTTCCACCGCCTTCTCAAGGACTTGCCATAGTGATTCCCGCTTGCCGTGATTCCTTTCTAGATCTGCTGCGGCTGTCCATAGCGTCTTGCTATTGACGAACACTCGCAGCGCATAGGCGTAGATTGCCCTTGCGGTTTCGTATCTGCCTCGGTTGATGCTACCCCGAGCGTCCTCCATCCAGGTGTCCTTGCGGTCATCATCCTCGTCCAAGCCCCATCCCAGAGTCTCGCGAATAATGTTCTCGCAAGTGGTAATAGCCCCTTCCTCTTCGCACTTCTCGGCCTCGGCGATCCATTCTTCTCGCTTGGGCATGGCAGACTCCTTTGCCAGGACTTGAACTGCACGTTTCATCACGTTGACCTTCTGGCCTTGGCCAAGCTGTTCTTGTAGTCTGGCTGCCGCAATCCAAATTTCAAAGGATGTTGGGACTGCTTTACGAGCTCTGTTGAGAACCTTTTGTGCATTTTCAGGAGTCTCGAGGCGAGCCAAGGCAAGCCAGAGATCGACAGACAATGGGATGAGCTCGGTCGCCTTGGCAAGAAGCAACTTGGCATCGTTTGGATCATTCTCGAGGTTCACGGCTTCCTTCCACAGGGCTTCAGACTCAGGAATGTGGTCGAGGGCTTGGCGGATAACACGCTTCTTGTTGCTTGGAATGTGTTCCAGCCTCATCGCCTCCACCCAGAGCCTGACAGAGCGGTCGTTTGCTTCGATGGCCTGTTTCGCAATCACCTTGGCGTTGTGAGAGTCGTGATTGAGCCGGATGTTCTCCAGCCACGCGTCTTCGCTCTTGGGACACCGCTCGCATCCCTTCGCGATGGTCTTCCTGGCGGCGACAATCTTGCCGGCCAACTCTTCTAGTCGTGCGGCGGCAATCCAACCGAGCGCATTGTTAGGATTCGTCTTGACAACAGACTGTAAAAGATCGCGCACACGATTGATGTCTCCGACCTGGACCTGCGCTTCCGACATCTGCATCTTGTTCAAGCTCGTGATGTAACCCTGGGCATCGATGGTGCTAGCGCTTCCCGAGATTGAGTCCGATCCTGCACTCTGCGACGCCTGCTCGAGCCTGGACTTGAGCACCTTGTCGCGTGCTGCGCCAATGTCCGCAAAGTTGGTCATCGTGCCATCTGAGGAATCCCGTGTGCTGGATCCAGCGCCGTCGTCCGTTACAGTTGTGCCCAGCTCCGTGGAGTCCCTGGCGGCGGCGAGCACGCTGTCGGGCACGGCGTAGAAACGCTGCCGCAGCGCCTGCTTGCTCCTCCGGTTCTTCCCTGTCAGGTCGCCAACCTCGGGCAAGTTTGCCCACTCGTCGTCCGAAACGGTCGCCAGCGAACGCTTCAGGTCGGTGAACTGCTGCTGGATCTTTGGGTTGTTGCGCTCGTACTCCTCGCGCTCGGCCTTCTCCCGAGCTTCGCGCTGTCTTTTCCTTCGGTCCATGCGCTCATCCACCCACTCCCAGATCTTGTCGGCCTCCTCGTCGTCCTTGTCGTAGACGCCGCCCGCGAACAGCCCGACCTCGTTGTCCGGGTCCTGGTATCGGTCCTCGTCTTCGGCCTCATCGTCGGCGCCCTTCTTTCCCTCGGGGGCCAATCCTAGCTGTGCTGCGCGCTTGGCGAGCAACTCTTTCATTTGATCATCGCTGGGTCCCTCTCTGGTCGGCCCCAGGTCAGAGCGGGTGGTGAACCCCGTGGCACCTCGACCCAGACCAGCGACATAGTTTTCTGGAGCCGGCTGGCTCAAGAAATCTCGACGGCCAGACATGGCTGCGCGGGTGACTGTAGAGCCTGCTCTTCGATTGGCGGTGAAACGAAGGGGGAAACGAGCTGGGAGATGTAGAGAGAGCGTGTCGCGTGGGTAAGTTTCCTGGTCAAGTTTCCTGGTCGACAAAGTGCAAAGGATGGTCAGACGTAGCTGAGGAATGGTGCTAATCAGCCAATCAGGTGGTGAAAAAGAGGGAAGCTTTGGGCTGGCCAGTGCTGCCTAGAAGCGGAGATTATGAACCCGGCCTGGTCATGTTTCGCACCCCCACCTACCCAAATTCATATCGGGCTTATCGATAACTTTTTTTTTTTGGCATCAAAAAGGATTCCCACCGCCCCTCCACCCAACCCCACGATCCTGATATATGAAGAACCCGACGACGAATTCACTGCAATGGCCAAGGTCAAGCACGCAAAGCGCGGCAGTGCGTCGAGCACCCCGTACGAACGGCCATCGAAGGGCGGCGGTCCTGGCGCCAATGCTGCCGCGAACAAGAACACTGTCTTCAAGTTCAACACCAATCTCGGCCAGCATATTCTAAAGAACCCCGGTGTCGCGGACGCCATCGTCGAGAAAGCCTTCCTCAAACCGACTGATGTTTGTCTAGAGATTGGCAGTGGTTCTGGAAATTTGACGGTCCGGATACTGGAGCGTGTGAAGAAATGCATCTGCGTTGAACTCGATCCTCGGATGGCGGCTGAAGGTAGGGCATTCCTTGGACGAGGGGGGACGATATTGCGGATGATATCGCCTAGTCTTTACTTACACGGCGAATAGTGACCAAGCGTGTGCAGGGCACACCCGTTCAAAGGAAGTTGGAAGTATTGTTGGGAGACGCCATAAAGACAGAGTTGCCACCGTTTGATGTTTGCATTTCGAATACACCCTACCAGGTCAGTTGACGTTGCTAATTTCACACATCGTAGACACGGACTAACATATAACTATACGATATAGATCTCAAGTCCTCTCGTCTTCAAACTCCTAGCCATGCCTAACCCACCACGCACTTCAATCCTCATGTTCCAGCGCGAGTTCGCGCTCCGTCTCACTGCCCGTCCCGGAGACGCCCTCTACTGCAGGCTGTCCGTCAACGCGCAGTTCTGGGCCAAGATCACGCACATCATGAAGGTCGGCAAGAACAACTTCAGGCCACCCCCGCAGGTCGAGTCCTCAGTGGTCCGGATCGAGCCCAAGCTGGGCAAGGACCGCCCCAACATCAGCTGGGACGAGTGGGACGGTCTCCTGCGCGTGTGCTTCGTCAGGAAGAACAAGACTCTCCGCGCCAGCTGGCTCGGCACCAAGGAGGTCCTGGCGATGGTCGAGAGGAACTACCGCACGTGGTGCGCCATGAACGGCGTCGCCGTCGACGATAGCCTGGTGGAGGACAGCCCGGATGACATCGAGGTGGATGATGCCGGGGACGACGAAGACGGTAACGGCATGGACGTTGACGATGAGGATACCCCGGCCTTTTTCAAGGAGATGGCTTCGACTGAAGTGGCCAAGACCAAGAGCAAGAGGAAGAAGACCAAGGTGGCAGAGCTCGTGCGTGAGAAGATCCGCAAAGTCTTGGAGGACGTTACCGAGCTCGCCGATAAACGAGCTGGGAAGTGTGACGAGAACGACTTTTTACGATTACTATTTGCATTTAACGAGGAAGGGATTCACTTTTCATAGATTCAAAGAGACGGGGAGTACAAAATGGGAGCGGGATCTTCTCTCACTTAGGCGTTTCAGGGTTTGTTCTTTATGGTCAATATATACTCCATTATGACACTCCTACATGTTTCATATATCAAGTCACATAGCGAGCTCGTCGATGTCTTGTCAATGTCATTATATTTGGTATCTTGTATCAATTTGTTCATCATCATTGAATCTTTTTTTGTTTTGTGGGCCGTGAAAACCCATTTTCTCCCGCCAATTTTGTGAATCAGTCATTAGCCGTTAGATACATATACAAGGGGTGGTCGCCACTGCTCCTCTATCGTCATTAAAGGACAAATGAAAACACCGCTTCCTCTTAGAGTGTTAAACCGCCCCTTGGATTAAGAACTGCTCTCCGAACACAGCAGTCGGTGACCTAAGTTGCCTCGGTAAGAGTCCAGCGATATCTCGCTTCAAGTAATTGCCGGCTCCAAAAAAAAAAAAAGTGTTCTTGTTGGGTAAGATATTCCATGGACGGGAACACCCAGAACTCCAGTACCGTCGCCTGTTCCGTAACCAAGTTTAAAAATATCAAGAAAATAAAATAGAATTCATGGGAAAAAAGTGCCCATCGCTGTTCAAGTTTTGATAATCAGCCATCAAATGTGTAGAAAATGAGCAATCAACGCCGGAATGTCCTTTAAGATGCTATGCCATGCGAGCTCAGTATACACGAGAGGACTTAACAAATGAAATTCCAAAACGAAATCTCAGTTTTCAGAAACCACAATTTCGTCCATGGTTAAGAATCTAGCGTTGAGTTTGGTTTCAGGGACGGATCATTCGCTGAGTTTGGCTTCACAAGTTGTCTTCCCGAAACCGTAGCGCTGCGAACACGAGCACTCAATGGAAGGGTGTACTTGACCACTCCCTTTACAATGAGATCGAATTCGTCCTGATAGATCCGTTCCCAGCGCTCTGACCCCCCGTTGGTGTCGTTTCCAGGGTTGGTCAGTTGCATTTCTCCAGTGGATGAGGACGTTCCCTTATGGAACAAGGATCCTTCGAAAGTCAACGGACTATCAAATTCTGTGATGCGTCCAAGAAGAACATTCGGTCGCGAGTCGTCATCATCAGTTGGAGGATCGTTGATTGGATCATCTAAAGTGTGTACGCCACCATGGCCACGACGAGGCATCCTCCACCAATCACCGTCGTCGTCGTCGTCTTCTCCTCCATGTTCTGATTTGGCGAATATCTCCAGGTTCGCTTGATCAATCGTCACAACGACAATATTGGGATTATGCGCTTTGACTGTAACATCAAACATGAGCACCTGCTTGCTGGTAACGACGTTGTTGATCGAGACAATTTCAATATCAGTCATTGGCTGCGAAGTGGCAAACATGAAGCCGATTGCGCCAGTGATGACAAGAAGAAACATCATGGTTAGGACAAGGCACGCTGCGAATCGATTCAAGTAGGAAGGTCGACGAGAGAAAGTCTGCGATTCAGCCTGGCGCAAGCTGTGTGGACCTCTTCTGTTGCGCGGAGACCTCATGGATCGTGTAGATCCCATCAAAGGTGTTCGTTCATCGTCGGCACCTGTAGTATCATCCATGTCGTAGCTCGACAGGTGGATGTTGGATCGCTTATGGCTGAGCCCATGGTGGTTCCTCGGGCTTGGTGGATTTGACGAGTTTCTAGAGTTAGCCCCCCCAAACTTCGGTTTCGTTGCGTTGGGGAACGGTCCCTCGTTATCAAATAGCGATGCGTGACCGTTACCGGGCTGACGTCCCCAGCGGCCAATATGATGATGATGTCGAGCTGTGCCCCTTGTCGAACCACCCACGCTTCGGCCGGTGCCTTTCCCATCATCATCCACACTCAAGTTTTCCCCGCCGTTAGTGCTGTGAGTGCTGACGAACTTCATGCCCTTCTTGGGCGCATGCGTGGCACCCCCGTCCATAACACCGTAAATGGAGCGCAGATTTTGCCTATCTGCCTGGCTTGCCATAGACGTTGTACTGGGGGTCCGTGAATGAAAGCGGCGCGCAGATCTGTCCGCTGCGCCATCTGGGGGATTGGAGTCGTAAACGAAAGTTTCTTCCGAGTCAGACGTATTGGCCTCATCCACAGCTGAGGCGATTTTGGCTTCGAAGATATCGGCCTTGGAAGAAGCTACACAATACCAGGTTAGTACTTCATGTTCATGTGGCCACACCGTGAGCCCGAAAAGTTTGCGCATAAAACGTAACACATATGGAGGAATACAATGAGTGACCTAGGACACGAATTGACATCCATCTCCATTGGTCATCTCCAACGAGTGGGACAAACATGGAGAGCGTAGTTTTCTCGCGGAGAAGGGATTGCGACTTGAATGAATTGAGTCGTGCTTACCATTCCCAGCATTCACTGCTGGCTGTTTCCGAGAAGTTCTTCTCTTTTCTTTCCTTGGCTTGATAGTCTCAGTGCTTGGTTTAGTTTTTAATGTACCATTGTGGCCTTCAGGCTTTGCCGCGAGCGCCACTTGCGGAATGCTGGAGACGGTTTCAGTCTCGACAGTCATGGCCTGGGTAGAGCCCTCTTGCTTGGGCTTTGTCTGCTTTGAAGACATTGCGCTAGATTGCCTGGATACCAGCGGTGGCGGAACAGAGGTCGGGCGCCGGCCTTCAGACTTCATATTGCCTCCGTCACTCCCGCTATCTTGAAAGCTAAGGCTGGGGCGCGTTTTGAGCCTGTGGTCATGGAGCATGCTGTCGGAGTGACTTTCCAGCTTCTCTTTAACCTGCGCTAAGAGCGCATTGTTGGTTGGGCTTGGAGAGTTCGGTAGGCTGACTTCTTGGACTGTCTCAAGTGCCGCACGCTGTGGCGTACGAGCACCTGATGGTAGTTGAGAGTCCTCGGTGTCACTCTCGGAGGGGGCATTGCTGGATTCCATTGGTCCAGGCGATGGTGTGGGACGTTGAACATTGACAATAGGCGGCTCCTGTTCGCTACGTCGTTGCGTTGGCGTTCCAGCTTTATTGATTTGTGGGGGAGGAGAACGTAAGCGAGGCGATACCGGCCATCGAAGGCCATCCTTGAGTTCGTGCAGGCCGGGCTTCTGAGGAGTCGGGGCCTGGATCTGTGTATCCTGTGGGGGAGCTTGGAGGGTTGGAGTAACTGTAGAAGACAAGCTTCTCGAAGGGGCGTATCCCGACACACTTGGGCGCATCTGGCGAGTTGGACTGAACTCCGTCTGGCTGTTTGTGCGCGATCGCGAGGGGCCAAGTCTGCTCGCTGAAGTAGCCCTTCGGGGTTTGCGGGTTGGCGAGGGCTCTCGGGAGGCTTGTGGAGACTGTGAGATCGAGTTGGTTCCTGATGAGTGTGCCGACTTCTGATTCTCCTGCCGCGGCCCGTTCATTTCAAGCTGTGAAGTCGAGTGATTCTTTGTCATTTTGTTGACGTTACCTCCAGCATGGGCGGAAGCGCCGTTGGGGCCTGTTGATGACTTGTCCATGATTGGTTTACGATTCTAGAGTCGTGGGGGTGTTTGCAGACCATGCAATCCGCGCAGAGCGTGGATTAACAGCAGGGTCTATTGGCAACGAATATGTCGTAAATGTGGATCATCGTGAGTGGTTCGCCATTAACAAGCAGCTTGATGAATGAGGGCGTGGTGATGCCCAACGAGGAAGTGTTGTATGCAGGATGCTGTCGTGGCGTGGGTTGGTACCTGGCGCGTCGGTTCTCGACCTGGCGGATTGGGGATGGTAATGCGTACGAGTGGCCAGTTCAAGAAGAGGGTAGGAGAGCTGGTCACAAATCCAGCCAGGCGACGGCCGCTTGGGGTCTGAAGGCACTAGAGGGGACGATTCAACGAGTGTGATGTGATGGATGGGGATCGAATACATGACACAATGTGTTGGGTCGACCTTTCTGCGTAGGTAGTGCCAGCAGCAACCCCAGGTGGGTCTAGGTAGGCGGACGTGGGCGATGAGGTACCAGGTACTGTCTGCTCATGCAGCCTCACTGTTCTGTTGCCATGGGCCGTTAGGTACCTACCTAGGTACCGTTACGTGTTCACCAACTCACAGCGCACGCCTACCTGGGCCCTGTCCATTTCCCGTTTGTTTGAAATGGTGTAACGGTCTCTCCCGTAAGCATGTCCGCCACCCGCGCAGGACTTTTCCGTCGGACGGCATGGCCCTCGCCTCATCGTCCAGTAGGTAAGTTGTCTACGATGGCTAGGAGTAGATTCCAGGTGTTTGCTACTGGCGCTCTCGTTGTGGAAGCCTTGTGATCCTTGAAGGCAGGTATAGGTACATCCCTCTACTAAACCCCCTGTCGACAGGGGCAGTCCCTTCCCAATTTTTCCTTCTTAGCCAGGTACATGATATTTGGACCCTCGGGTAGGAAACATGCAGCCAAAACCAGACAAGGTGAGAATATTTTTTCTGATTGATAGAAGCAAGTCTTGAAAATTTACCGAAGATTATAAAAGCATCGACTACGAGTTCTGTTCTTCCATTTCCCTGCAATAAGAACTTCGGGGAGTGCGGGACAGCCTACCTGGCATTCTGCCTTGTTTTGGCACGTACCTCTTGGTGGGTACTTGTTTTGGAAAGCCATAGCGTTGGCGGTCAATCCCGTCATCGATTCTGTACATTGGTTCCTTTGCTAACTCATTGTTGCATAGGTAATTATCTCACTTCTTCCAATACTGTGCCTTGTCACCTTGGGTGCGAACCGAATCCGCCAGACGGAATTTGTCGCACAGGGAAAACTCGCGATCCTAAGTCCTCGTTTCCGGTCTACTTGGGGCTGCGTACAGCCTCCATGTGTGACGACCGGAAGTGGGAGGCCCTGGTGAGATCCGTCTCACCCGACAGATAGGTAGGTAGGTACCGGCATCGCTGCCCTGATGACAATTTTCCCTTAAAATCCGACCCGACCTCGGCTGGTCAGATGGGAGAGAGCTTTGACAAATTTGCAAGACATCCACACCGGCAACCGTCCCTCTTGCATGGTTGGGTAGAAAACGT